TCTTTTAGAGTTTCTACGATACTGAGAAGTTCCTTCTCGGTAACTGTGTAAGTGTCTGAGCAGGGTTGAGCTTCCTGCTGGGGTGTAAATTACTCGTTAGTTTAACAAACTATTGGCCACGGAGTGGCTTTTGGTACGCGGGCAATGGGTGGGGAAGCCCCACCTAGCTGAGTCGTCATCTACTTATTTGCCCAAATCAACATGACCTGGCTCATCCACTGCCAACGTGAGGCCAGCACCAAGTAGACAGATGCCCTGGGTGGGGGGTGAGCACATTGATAAGGAAACTGCCTAGCGCAAAAACCTGGGTTACAGGGCTTACACAGGATTTTTGTCGGTATTGAAACCATTATCACCATAAGGACCGTGAGGACCAGTTAGATTGCCAGACCAAAGAGTGCCCGCCAGTAAGTGTGTCTGGGTGATCAGGTCCCAAGCTGTGGCAAGGGCCTTGGGATGCAAGGCAAGATGCCAGCAGAGCCCGTAGGAGGTGGTACTCCCAAGGCTGGACCAGAGCAGGGTGTACCCCATCCAATGCACAAAAATTGTTAGATAAAGGCCAACAAGCAGGCAGAAGATGGGGTCTAATGACACACTGGCAGTGGTTGGTTCCCAGGAGGGAGGCACAGTGGCTGCTGGAGTGTTGTGGGCTGTTTCGACTTCCTCGCAAGTCTTTGGAGGCATCAATCCAGCTTACGCGTCTTGGTTTTGTTCATCTGGCAGCTTTGCAACGCTGACATACGGCCTGCACAGTCTGTCGCAGTCCTTTCCAGGTGTAGTGTTGGCTGATGGTCATTTCTGTGCGAGTCTCGCCAGGTGCATCAGTACACCATGTACCATTCGACTAGCTTCTCTGCATAGTCTTAGGTACGACGATCTTGTCGTCCTTGACTACTAAGTCGTAGACTTATCCCTCTGGGGAAAGATTGCTCTTTGTAGTCGTTTGGCTTGTCCCTGAGGAGTTTTTTGATATCGTTGTCGTCTTCTGACGATGTTCGACTCGGGAACAGAGAGGGAATCCCTAGGGAATCCCTCTTCGTCTGCAGCCATGAGCTCAGCGATCTCGCTGGCTTCTCATCTGTTCTGAAGAACCGTTTTGTTGGAGATGTTAAGTCTCGACAACGCATAGCGCGATGTTTGTCTGTCGCCCTTGATTACCGTAGTTCAGGGCCGTATTCTTCCAGAATAAGGCGCCATCGCATTACGCGATCGGTTTTGAAGTTTCTTACATGTAAGATTCTTGTGGTCCGTATGACAACGACTCTTCTGTCCTAGAAGAATGTTACGGAACTCTTTGAGTTTCTACGATACTGAGAAGTTCCTTTCTGTAACTGTGTAACGTGTCTAGAGCAGGGTTGAGCTTCCTGTTGTAGAACGCGATAGGTTTTCCCTTCTGGGAAATTACTCACCTATTTGAGTATCAACTGCATCCGTGTGGAAAACGAATGTATCGTTGAAGTCAGGGTAAGCGAGCAGGTTTCTTTGTTGATGATCTTCTTATCTCTGGCTAAAGGCTTGTCGTGTTCGGCTTCCATTTCCACTTCGTTGTTTTGGAAGTCAACGAAGCGAGTGGAGCCAGTACATGTGATCGTCTAATCCACATGTCTCGATAGTTAGTTACTAGTCCAATGAATCTACGGAGTTCTTTTCTGTTGGTAGAGGAGCGATATTCTGGATCGCGTCTATTTTCTTGGTTATAGGTTGGATCCTTCTCGAGTAATCCAGTAACCTAAGTATTCAAGTTTCCTCTTGCGAAGAAGGACTTGGTAGCATTGATCTTAAGTCGGCTTCTCGAAGCCTTCGGAACTTCATCCAACTTTTCAACGTGATCTGCTAGATCGCCGTTAGTTAGGATGAGTAGATCATCAATGTATGACGGCGTATTCTAGTCGTGCATTAGTGTTCCCATCTTCTCTTGGAAGATGTCGGGACTATTACATAGGCCCCATGGCAACCTCTGGTATCGTACTTTCCCCACGGGAGTACGATAGTACAGAGTTGTTTCGAGTGAGTGAAGCTCGATGTGATAGTATCATGTTCAGGTCTAGACTAGTGGCGTACTTGAATCCGTCTAGTTCAAGAGCATTGTCCTGTATTTTTGGGATAGGATAAGGCTCCGCTTAATCCTTTTGTTTATGTTCCGGAATCAGAGATGAATCGTACAGATCCATCCTTTTTGGGAATGATAAAAGTTTGGCCGCCCCATTCGGAACGGTTTACCTTTTTGATTACTCCTGCTTCGCAGAGAGTTCAACCTCCATCTTAAAAGTGTTGGTATGGACACGTGGAATAGGATAGCCCTAGCGTGATAGGGTTTAGCTCAGGGAGGAGTTCTACTTCGTAGTCTCCATCTGCCACTTTCCTAGAGTGCCATCGAATAGGTCAGAGTACTTCGTTAATAGAATGAGCTGTTCCTGCTTCTTCCTTATTCAACTGATTTTTGACTTTGGCAAACCTGCCTTAATCAGCTTGTTCGTATTTGCATCAAGAATCTTCTTGAGACGATCTGCACTGTCATCAACGGCAGTAGGATCAGGAATGAAGAAATTTTCTTCTTTTGGTGTCGCTATCTTTCATAGGAATAGATATGCCGTCCCACTCCACTGACATGGTAGTGAAATCGAACTTAAATCCTAAGTCAGAGAGAATGTCTCGACCTATGATCATGTCATACGCCCCCAAGCTCTTGGTGACGTGTAATCCATTCGATAATTCTATATCGTGGAATTCAGGAATCATGAATGCACCTTTGCACTTCGTGCTGGTGTTTAATTCTCCTGCAGGGGTAGTCCACATGGTTTGGACGCCCCCAAGATCCTTCATGCGTAATTTCTTAGCATGATTTGAGCAATCAAGTTCCGGATGCTCCTGTATCCAGTAAGCAACGGGTGTAACGGGTTTTGGTTTCCTTTTTCTCGTTGTTAAATCTAAATAGACGATAGGTTGGAGGTCTCTTGTCTTGCGACGTTTACGAGGTGGTTGGCCACGGACGAGTTAACGATGCTAAATAGATCATCAGAGTCTAGTTGAGCAGCTTCTAGGCAATCATCTAATTTGCCGTAGAGTTCATCGGTTGAAACAATTCTTGTTTACTAGTTAGTGAGATATTTCATCACTTGGTATGGAAATCGGAACATGGTTCCTTTGATTCATCATCCTGGCTAATCCTCAGATAGAGATTTCTCCATCCAAGTGATTGAAATGATAGAGGAGTTGTCCTCGTTATCAGAGTCTTCTGATTTGCGCTTGGCAACATGGTTGCGAAGTTTGCAGGTGGTTGCACGAGTATCGTCGATCTCGTTTTTCGTCATTGTCGACGAGAGGAAGAATGGGTTGTCACGCAACGTTTCTCGAAGTTGCTGAACGCATGCTTTCTTGAGCAATCTTCATGGTGAAGAATAGGTTGAGGGTAGCTGAAAGCTATTGTGTTTGTTAACAAAATGCACTACGCTAAAAGCTAGTATAAAGATCTTTCGAGTGTTTTGAGTTTGAGAGAATGAAAGTTATGAGAGAGATTAGAAAGCTATGAAAACTAATCAACGAGAGAGATCACCATCAAAGGATCGTAGATCTGGTCTCCCGCGGGAGACTATAAAGTGTGATAGAGTAGGTTGCGGTAGTAATCCTACGTATCTCCACGATCCTAAAACGGAACGCGTTGAAGGTTTGTCTAGCATGGATCTAGTAGCGTGGAAGTACTCCACGCTGGCTAAATATCTAGAGCGATGTTTCATCATCAACCTAGTATGACTAGAGTGGTCATTGAGAACCCTGTCTCAAATGACTATTCACGAGAGACTCAGTCATGAGTCGAACTCAAACCCTATCTAGGATCGAGTCGCGAATAAGGCTAAGAGCCGTGTATTACAATACTCAAACGTAGCGATCGTACCAGTGCTAACGACCGATTCAGTACGATACTGAGAGAGGCACGCATCCATTGGATACCTCCTGTGGCTACTTAAGGCGAAATCGGAATCCTCTCGGTATGTGGTTGGTCTTAATGCCGGTGTTATATCTTCTCTGTTGCAGTTTATTTAATAATGGGAGTCTTATTGAGAGGATCTTTGTTTCAATGACTGCCAATACCATAGAGTTTCTACGTAGCATACTGTTCTTGATGCTGAGGGTATGTAAGATCCACATAGTAGTAGGGGGAAGCACATACTGAGCCAGTGCAACTACTGTTGCAGAAACGTAGTACCGTACCGGTACCTCGATTGAGGTGCCGACTGTGAGTTGGTCAATCCAGAAATCCGGGATAGATTTAGATGGATTTACAGGGGTGGTATTGTGCGTTTTTTTTTAAATAAGAAAGGAAGCAGGAGGGCAAGCACGGTGTTATATCAAGCAGAAGCTCAGTCAAGAGGCAACGTAGCGCAAAGGAAGTCTTGACTCACGGCCCTCATGATGTGACTCCAGCTTTTGGCTGGAAGATAAGACGGTGTGTATCATCTCTGCCAACCCATCAGCCACCTCCGCATGCATCAAGCAAAGGGATCGAAGCAGCGGTAGCAATGCTGGCAGCCATTCTTACAGAATTGCCGGGGATGATGGGAACCAACGATTGCTGATCAGCGGGACTTGAAGGCAGGAATCGTCATTGGGTTTCTGCAAGCAGAAGCTGTACTAGGTTTGAAAGGGAAGAAAACTGGTCTAGGTCTTGTGGAGCGAGGATGAGGATGGTAGTTGAGGGTGGAATCGGTGGAATAGTGGAGAGGAAGATTGAATTGGTTCGATAAGATGACCGAACCGAACGATTTAGATTCAATGCAGTTTTGTGCACCACTTTGTGAGGAGTGCAGGTAGGCTCGCACCATGAAAGCAGGGCAGTTCACTGCCGCCGGTCTGCTGGCTAGATGCGGTACAAGTAGCAAAGGAGCAAGAATGGCTTGTTTGGTCGAGTTTGTTGGCTAGGACGGACGCTCGATCAACTTATACCACTCCTCGACAAAGGGCTCCAGCAGAACCCGAGCAATATTCGACAACGCTATCGTTTGAGCCACTTTGTTCTTCATCAAAATCATGACATGTATTTAGCATTATTTTTCTTGGTATTCATTATTATAAAACGCACTGCGTGGTGATTTGCTGCTCGGAAGAGCGCGAGCAAGCCAACAAGCACTCACGCGACAATATCGATAGCTACTGCACATAATATTTCCTTTCTTGTTCATATCCATTCGCAAAAACTGTTGCCTCCCGACGTTTTTCGCCGTGGCGGAAGACAGGCTGGCCCTTGAGTTGACCCATCATTCATTCAAAGATAACCTCTGGACGTTCTTGTTGCAACATCTTGACATTGTCGGCTGTCAAGTCACTGCGGAACCATCGTAGGTTTGGAGCGTTGCGTACAAACTTGATCAAGCCCAGCTGAGTAAAGGGCTCGCTGACCACATCCACTGCATTCTTGGGCAAGCGATCATAATGGCGACAGCCTTTGAGACTGACTCGTTCCAGATTTTCCATGCAATAGCGCAAGGGACACGCGACAACGTTGTCCGCGTCCTGGAACATTTCCGTGACTTCTCTCTTGCTTGCTTGCAAGAGCGTGCCGTCGAGGAGCAGCTCCTTCAATGCATGGCAATTCTTCCAATCGATTCCCGTACTGGAAGCGACTCCACCGGCGAGACCGTTCTGCAGATGGATTCGTTCCAATTTGGGGCAGTTCCTGGCAGCATCGGCCAGAACAGCGGTAGTCACGTGGTTGTAACTGAGGTCCAACTCTTGCAGGTTGGGAACCACCTGTGTCATGAGGCGCCCAATAGAAGGTGCCACTTGGGGGTAGCTGTTGTTATTGTTGTTGTTGCTGTTATTATCGGAAGAGAGATCCATATGAGTAATTTGTTGCAATTTCAAAGAATTAGCGACTGGCTTGGCTTCCCGAGCATTGATTTTGGGTAAATGGCATATGCCTTGAGCTTGCAAGCGAGTGAAGCGCTCTTCAAAGACTGGAAACTTGCTCGCATATTGATTCTGCCTGGTAGGAATCTTCAACAAGGCGCCCAATAGTGGATGGAGACTGTGATAACAACCCATGGCCATGGACATATTGTTTTTGGCGGGTGCAGGACAGCGGATCACTGCTGTCCGGTACTGGGGCAGTGCATCGTCCTCACATTCCTTAGAAAGCTGCTTGGAGACACAAGACAACTCGGCAAGATCTTGGGCATCCAGGTATTGCAATACTTCGCGGCGGAGTTCCGGTAGAAGCGTCTCGGTGAGACCTTGCAAAGGTGTGTGTTCTTCAATGGTTGTGGCCATGGGCACATCACTGGCCACATTTTGATGTTGTTGATGGGGTGGGGGCTTCATGTTGATTCGGTTTGATAAGTGCTGCTATCTCAGGGCAGAACAAACTAACATTCCAATGCTTCAATAAACTCGAGGATCGATCGGGGGCGGTTGGTATCTTTGTCTTACTCAGCTATTTCAAAAGGTGGACGTGGTTTTCTTCACTTTGTTTTAATTTTTGTTCTTTCGACTCTTGTTCTGCGAAGTTGGTCGCTTTCTTGTGAGAACGTGCGACGATGCAAAAATACTGCCTTTGTTCTGGGAGGAGCTTTGACACCACGGCGACAGTCTTGATTTTTTGCGGAAGCTGGAGGACACCCAGCCCCGCATGCAGGGCCGAGTTGCCGGGAACTTCTGCAAATATACTGTGAAACTGCAATTTGCTTTGTATTTTGATTTTGAGTCATGTTTTTATACAATATATTTCAATATTCCTTCAAATGCTTCTTCTTACCAGACATAATATATTATGATGTTTGGTAAAATAATCTCCATAGTTTTCTTTTATCTATTTACACTTTCGAAAGTACAAAAAGGTGGATTAGAAAAGCAGATTTCCCGACCCTGGAACGTTCCAAAATCTGCCGTTACGGCTTTAGCAGTGGGAACATCGGCATGTTTGACATCAGGCGTCGGATTGATATCGATTCCAGTCGAATAATTCGATCAGCGAATCTCGTTTTAATCGAGAAGCGAACGGTTTGACACTCTCAGCCCAGGCTACTTCGGTTGATAGCTACGTTTCTAGCTAGTACACTCGTAGTTGGTACGGGTAGGTTGCGATGATGTCGAACAGATGCCTGGTACCATACAGTCCTGGTTCCGGTACCTGGCGGGGTTCCTCTACCGATAGTGAATGCAGTAGAGCAAGGAGGAAGTGGTGCCAAAGTCTGCGGTATAGACGTCTATTCTTTCCTCTACGAGCTAGCTAGCTCCAGATGGAACCATTATAGTCCTCGATGAAACGGGTAATCGGGCTGGTGGCTGGGTACGGAAACACACACGAAGAACGGTTCACGACCGTTTCAGATGGCAGGTCCACACAAACATTGCTCCTCGCCTACTCTTTCTACTAGTAGGGCTAGCGACCAAACTTATCAAGCACTTGCTGGGCAAGCTTGATATCTGTTTGCACTTTCTTACGGCGATAGAACTGGCAGGCACAACCATCTCCGGTGCACATGATATCCGAGTGTACAGTTCCATGAATCTTTTGGGCTGTAGCCCACAAATCATTGTACCGAAGCTCGGCTTCGCGCATCACTGCCAGTTTGCTCAGGTAGATCTCCGCTTCTTTGGGAACGCAATGCTTGCACAAAAAACCTTTGCTGGCATCCACAGGAGCCTTGCACCCAATACAAGTAGTGGCCTTGACAGCAAACATCATCAAACTGCCCTTCCTGGCACTGGGGGTAGGAATAAAGATCTTGCGAGTGTGGTCTCCCTGCAGCAAGTTCTTGTCAACGTTTTCAATGATGGGTTCGAAGATGCGAGTGAGCGGCTTGGACAGCTGATTGGTAAGGTACCACTTGCAATCAATGGGGAGGTTATTCTCCAACACATAGACTGGGTCCTCGGCCTTTTCAAAGTTGGCAGCGCCCTTGGCTCCTGTAATGATGACATAAGGCACACGGTCACCCATCTGAGGTGCCGACCCAGCATCCCGCTTGCGCATCCTAGCGGCAAGCTCCACATGGGCTTGTTTCACCTGAACAGTTGTCGCAGCAACTAACTGTGTGAGCCGCACAATCCTGCTACAAACATACATACAGACGGTGGCACTCGTCTTGACATACCTTGTAGTCGTCCTTCTTGCCTCCAGGTAGACCAAGCGCGTACTCGGCACCCTTGTTGAGACTCTTCGTAATCACCAACTGAGAAATGTCCATCTTGTTCTGCAAAAGGTTGGAAATCTGAGACTTGACATAGTCAATGGCGCCACGAACGTTCCTGTCGATGAGGATCTTGTTCAACGACGTCTGGATGATGTCTCGGACCAGAGCACAATTGTCACGGCGCACGGTTTCAAGTCCCTTCGTATCCATCTTGTCGTACTTGTCCTCTTGGGTCCACATGAGACCAGCGTAACGCTTCTTGTTCCTGCGGTTGAAATATGAAGAGCAGAAACAATCTGTCAGCAAGCGCATGAAACCAGTGATGTAGCAGCGGAAAGCACAAGCCCGTGACACTCACATCAGCAAATAGGGATAGTACACCTTTTCAAATTCCAGCAGAATGGGACTGGGAAAGATCTTGGACGCTTTCGAGGCAGCCTCTTCTGCCAATCGAAACGCCTCTTTCAAATCGCTGGTCCCAAACTTGACCATCACAGAGTCTGTGTCTCCGTAGATTACTTGAGCATTGTGTTCATATCCGTTCGCGATGGTGTACTTGTCCTCCACGAACTCCTTTGTCTTTTCCAACAAGTACCGTCCATAGGACGTGACAGAAGAAGCAATGGGAAGACACGGCAAATGACCAACGATGGCCCCCGTAAAGCCATACACAGAGTTGGCGGAGACTTTCAAGGCAAGCTGCAACGGAATGTTGAGATGGTATGGTGAACAAACCGTGTCAAGGTTCAACTCATGGACGTACCTGTCGACCATTCTGAACAGCTCGTTCAAACTCGGTTGGTGCGAGCTTCATATCTCTCTTGGCCCTCTTACGTGCTACACGACAACCGATGTGAGTTGATCTTTCCAGACAAACATACATCAATGGAGGAACTAGATACGGGAGACTTACCAGTCAGGAGCTCCTCGAGAATCGTCGGCAAGATGCCCTTCTTCACGTTGGAATGTACGAAGCAGTGCCCGTTTTCACTCTTTTTGTACTTGTCAGGATTCACCCGATTCACGTCCGTGGGGCTCACCAGAGTCGAGTAACACAGGTTCCTGCGCCAGCCGACGAATCGAATCGAGAAGGTTCAGAAGAAGGAATCAATCAGTATCGTGGGAAATCAATCAGTATCACTCTCAACGGTACGAGGCCGCGATACTTAGACTCACCAAGCCTGCATAATAGATGGGTACAGAGAGGCAAAATCCAGAGTAGCAATAGGGTCGGTGTAATACTTCTTGATGGGGTCCAAAACGGTTGCTCCTTCGTATCCGACATCACCTCCGGCAGATCCCTGCTTGGCCAGTGTAGGCACGAGCAACTTCTCGTCTTGACATTTGCGCAGAATCATCGAGAAGACTTTGATTTGTTGTCCACGCGAGATGAGAAACGACACGGGGACACCGGTCACACGTGCCATTTCAATGTAGTTCACAAGACAACTCAATTTGTCCATGAGCCGCTGGGGCAACAGTGCATCCTTCAAACAGTAGACTGCTAGACGATGGCGATCCTCGTCGGATCCATTCTGCAAATCGGAGATAATGGAATGATGAACATCTTCCTTTTGCTGTCCCAAGAACTCGGAGCAGACACTGTTGAGGGTGTAGGAACTCAACTTGTGATTTCGCTGCATGTAGGGGAGCATGTCAAAGATGACACGCCCATCAATTGTTGTTTCCACATTGGATCGACGCCCGTATGCAGAAGATTGAAACATGGTATCTCTCATCTTGGCTCTGGAGTTCTTGACGCGCCCCCACAGACTAAAGTTCGCCAATTTGGTTTTGGATTGACTGCTCCCCTTGGCCAAGGCTGTGGCGCGATCCAACAAGTAAGGGATATCGAAATTTTGCACGTTGTATCCTGTAATGATATCTGGATCAGAACACTCCAGAAATGCACGCCACTTCATGAGCATATCCTCCTCCTTGTCGCTGGATATGACCTGGGCTCCTACAATGGGCAGACATCCTTTCAACGTGAAAACATTTTGGATCGTCGGTTCCTTTTCTCCATAGACGGTCACCGTGTTGGCGATTTGAATGACAGGATCTTTCTCCGCTTCCGGGAAGTGCCCTTTGCGCCCCTGACATTCAATATCCACAGAAAGGATGCGAATGGGAGCGATTTTGTTCCACTCCCCTTCTGACTTCCTCGCGACAACGTCATCGTAGGTGATATCCACTTCAATCTGTAGAGTCAAGAAAGAAAAAGAGACAAGGAGACACAAAGTGAACAATTAGCACCCAGCAAGCTACACTTCTTCCCTACTAGCAGAGCAGCGACTGACTTTCATACCTGACAATGGGTTTGTTTTTCGTTTTTGGATCGGACTTTGTAGGTTTCCTGAGGCAATGTCAACCATCCTGCCCCAGTAATATCCATGTCAATCATGTAGCGCAAGACAAAAGGGACATTACATTCAAAAGCTGCCAGTGGGATCTCGCCCGTGAATCCTGGAATTCCCAAATCAATTCCGCCCTCCACAATGCGTTTCAAGGTTGGTACCAGCGTGGGCATGGCCAAATGCACTTTTAGAAATTGCGTGTGGGATGTTTCATATCCCATAATGGACCGGTGATCCCCGACATATTGCACGGCCAACACATACTCATTGAGCTTGCCATGATTGCTCCGCTGGGCATTGCGAAGACGGCCGTCCAACAATCGACGAATATCTTTCTTGACTTTTTCTGTAAATGCCTTGGCGGGAAATTGTTGAGGCAATGCAAAGTAGGCATAGGGAGTGAATCCATGAATAAACATAGTAATGCTATGTCCCTGTTCGTTGACACCGTAGACACGAATGATGGGGACTTGTTGTCCGTTGGTGTTGCCAGCCACAACACTCTTTTTTCGATTGGGGTTTCTCTTGAGTGGTGGACCCGCCACCATGTCAATGTCGAGCCACTGGACATTCAGATCATTTTCATTGGTGAGTCTGGATTCCAAGGGAGGACGCAGCCACTTGGATCGGGAGGCGGCAATGACAGAGTCGCCATCGTCAAAATCTTCCACATCATCAGGGATAAAATCTTCTGGATTCTGCTCCTCGATCATCTCAATAAAGTCTTCATCAATCATTTCATCTCCGACAAAATTCATAGCATCCACCCCACCCCCGCCGCGAATGCGTTTGGGAGCAATCCCATCCGAGATGGACGCATCGTTCTGTCTCTTGTTGGTTGTCATTGGCAAGCTGATTCGATTGAATTCCTCTTGCAGGTATCAAACAAACAAACAAACAAACAATCACTGGATGACTAATAGACTAGCAAAGTAAATGATGTGGTCAAAGCGAAGGTAGGTGTTATCGCTACTGTACTGTACAACGTGTACTACGGTAGTAGATAACACCCAAAAAGACAAGACGGTTCGACCAGAAGAAAGAGACCTGTCCTTCAGAAAAATGCTGCCAAGAAAGCGCGCCAAAGCAACGGCAATGACAAACATTAGTCGCGCAATTGATCTGAGCTGAGTTGTTTGGCAGCGCATTTGCTCCTTCAATGTTTAATGTTGTGCGTCCCGCGGGAATGTCGTGGGATTCTTGGATCCTAGTCAGCTGGACCGTTAAAGGGGTTAATCTGACCACTGACACCTGGTACATGTACCAGGTCGTCTTCCGTGGATTTGAATGTTTTTAGCTCCACGTCCTACTACTCTTGTAGACTACTAGCTAGCTAGCCGAGGGAGGAGCTTTCGCGGGGACTAAGGGATGATAGAGACCTAGCTAGCTAGACCTACTAGTATTATTGTTTCCACGTCTGAAGGACCTTGATAAGCCATTCCGCAGTTCTTGGACCAATGGAAGCGTCGAGTGACTCAGCCTTTCGCCATCAGCTCGATGTTGACCTCTGCGGAATGGCATCAACGCACTCAAATCAAGTTATCTGGCTGCTAACCAAGTGGCTGCAAATGTGAAAATAGCTAGCTAGCACAACAGGCGGAATGATGGAAGACTGCCAACCACTAGAGCTAGCGGCATGCTACCGTAAGGACTTCATACACAACAACACTCGGAGGAAAGAGGTTGACAACTTCTTGACGACACCTGGAGGCCTTGAGGGCTTCAGGCTTCTCGAGGGCTCGTACTAGCTAGAGTAGAGGTACAGTCGTATGCTTCAGAGGACGAATGCCGGGTAGTTGGGACAGAGGAGGATAGCAGCCACTCCCAACACGAACTGGACTGCCAGCTATTGCTAGACTACACTGTAAACTCACTTATAAGAAACCTCTAAATTTAGCGCAGCCCTGGGGCCTCTCTCACTGTGATGCACCATTTTGGACCCTCAGATTGTTTCTAACAAAACAAGCCAATTTCAGCATAGAAGACTTTCTTACTAAGCTTCTAGCTTCTAGGTCAAGCAGGAGGTTAGTACTTGAATACACCCGGTGCACCTCGGCCATTTGGTCCAAATTGCTCAGGACTAGTAAATTGGTTTGGATCAAATAATAGTGATGGTGATCACTGTCTCTGATGTCAGGCAGACAAATTGAAGATTAGGCACATGTTAGGATCATTTTCTTGGTGTCAGACTAATAGTATTTCTTGTGCTGTGAGGTCTCAATACCGTACTGGGAAGGTTTCTTACCAGTCTGTGATATTTCAGTATCAAAAGATTCTTAGCATTTTCTAAAAGCTCAGGGCTCGTTTTCTTTTTGGGGAGTTTCTTGTACTAGTATTGGAGTTTGGAGCGTACTGCTGTAACTTGCTTGGTATCCGGAAAGAAGGTTCACAGGACAGATTTCGGTTTCTCGCCATTAGCTGTTTCAGAGTTTCTTTTTTAACTTTGTGCTGAAAGGAGAACTGTGTTTCAAAAATTTAGGACGGCTAGCCACTGTCCCCAAGTTTGCCTGGTAAGAAGGTGGAAAGGACAAATCTTGGTTTAACTGGGCTGTGTCAGAGAGCTGTCAGAGCTTCTTTTGTATGTTTGCTGATAGGACTCACTCTAACTGTGTTTCAAAAATGATTATAGAAACTCTTTCCAGTTTCCAGAAGTTCAAGTTCTGGTTGGGTTATTCTCCTCAGCAAATGACTTAACTACGTAAACACTCCTCGGCAACTGTGGTGTCGACGTGTCGATGTTGCGTAAATTAGACTTTTGACTGCGCTGGCACGATCGTGTGAAAGTGTGAAAACATGAAAACATGTCTAGAGTATTAGTAGCTGTGAATGGTGAAATTTAATGGAGTTAGAGTCTACGTTTGTTAATGCTGTACTCAGTATTCTGATGCTGTGAACTACCGCCCGAGTACACGTACCCGTACTGCTACAGGTATAGTGCTCATGGAGTACTTAGTACTTAGTACGGTACTGTATGACCATACTGGTATAGCTATTGCTCAAAGAATGCGACTCTAACCAAAACTGCACAGCTCTGCTTGACAGCTGCCTCCTGCCGGCTTTGTGCATCTAGACCTATCTTGTCCTGATCGATTCTCATTCAGGACCTCTGTGGAAACGTCATTCCTGGCAAAATACTTAGGAGACGATACTCCGAGGAATAGGAGACGATCGAAATGATTTAAGAGACGAAAGCAATCGTCTCCTATATTTAGGAGACGATTCAGTAGGAGACATTCCAATTAGGAGACGATCGTTTCGAAATAGGAGACGATCCGAAAGATTTAGGAGACGATACCATACAGTTTACATGGTACACTTAAGAGACGATCCGTTGAGAATAGGAGACGATCCGTTGTAAATAGGAGACGTTTTAAGAGCAAAAAAAAGTTTTAAGAGACAATCCGTTTCGTCTCCTATTTTTAGGAGACAAAATCCATTAATAGGAGACGATCAAAGGATTTAGGAGACGAAAAGTAGCACGACTCAAGTTTCCACAGAGGTCCAGTTGACACTTAAAACTTCACTGAGTGCAGTCGATTCGAGTGATGACCTACTGTACTCTTCGACTCTTCAGCAATCAACTTCGAACTCTGATGAAGTATCAGTACCTGGTAGTCAGCAACTCCGAGTAAGTAGCACTGGTACTCTTGAGAGCTCTGTGGAGTATCCGAATGATTCAATTAGATGCCACGTACCACACATCAACAGGAGATTCATCGCAGATTGGATGGATGGCAGTGATCGCGCCAGCTGGCTACCGGTAGCTAGCGCTTCAACATAAAACTAGCAGTAGCTGGCTTAGAGAAATGGTGGGAGCTGGCTCTTCTTCCGGAAACCTTTGCTAGCAAACCAAAAACGCTCCGACCTTTTGGTGCAATTGTATTATACCAAAAGATGGGGTACAATATGGCATGATTCTATTCGATAATTATTGTCTAAATCTACCACATCCCCCTTAACTTTTGCAAGTCTGCTGACCTTTGTGGCAAGGGTCCCAGAAAACACTTCCAATCAAAATCAAGAAGCGCTCGCAGATTGTGTATTAGGAGCTTCTTGGTAGAAACGCTAGATACCCTCCTCAGAATGGAAGCACCCATTCCATTTGTTTTCAATTCACCAAAGGTTGATAGTTGATAATACACACTCTTTGGTGCTGAAGCTCGAGGTAGCTGTCTTTCTTTACCATACCATACAGTGGGCGTTGTTGTGCTCACACGTGTTGAATCGAATCGAATCTGGTCCGGTGAACCTGGAAGACTTGCCTACTTCTACTTTGATCGATGAAATTGTATTTCCGGTGCAACGGTGCAATGGACCCTAACAACAGTCTCAACTCTCGCAAGAGAGATCGGCCCGAAGACGATGAGGAGAAGGTGGATATCTCGTCTAATCGCCGAAGGACTTCCTTGGTGAATGAGTTGATTGCGCAGCAGCAGCAGCAACAGCAACATCATCATCAGCAGCAGCAGCAACAGGGCCGCAACGATGGTAAGCAAACAAACAATCAATGGCAATATCTCCGTTAGACAAAATGATAATCTCAATTGACTTGTCTTCCACAAGATATAGTGACGCATCTCGTTTTGGACCCTCGCATGCAGCTGCTCAACACGGCCTTCCAGCTCCAACAACCCAGGCAGCAACTCGGGCTCACCTTCAACCCAAACCTTGCCGCCGCCCAGCATGCTTTGAGACCCAGTGGTAATAACCCATTTGCTGGTCTGCAAGGCTTCCAATTGCATCCCCGCTCGGCAGCTCCGATAGCCCCAAACCTCTTAGAGACGTTACAGGCACGGCTAAGGACCGGGGCAAACCCGTTTGCTTTTGTTGGAGGTCCAGTGATGAACGCCATGGCAACGGGCGGCGCACCAACAAGCGCCCCCGCCCCCGCTAATGCTCTTGTGCAGCAGACTCCTCAAACACTGCAGGTTCCCTCGTCGTCCTCCTCTCCTGCGCCTGCCTCGATGCAAACGCTATCTATGGCATCCAACGTCCCCGCTGGCCAAGGAGGTGCAAATCAACAAGGCAACCAGCTCAGCGAGGCTGACATGAATGCTTTGTTGACATGTACTGACGGTCAAAAGCTCCTGTACACTCCGGACGATGACTGGAAGTTGTCGCCCTATCAGTGCTTGGCCCGCAAACAGATTGAACTCTTTGAGGCATCCGATAAAGACCTGGAAGCGGGCGCCCAAGGAAGGAATCGTCCCATTGTCTTGGGTCAGCTTGGGATAAGATGCCGCTGGTGTGCCAGCTTGGCCAGTCGCCAACGCCAAAGGGCTTCTTCGTACTATCCCAGCCGGTTAGAGGGCATTTATCAGGCGGCGCAAAACATTAGCAATTCCCACCTGAGCCGTCTGTGTCAGAGTGTCCCCCCAGTCATCCGCGAGGAATTGGTGAGACTGCAAGCCAAGAAATCTGGTGCTGGAGGTGGGAAGAAGTATTGGTCACAGAGTGCAAAAGACCAGGGAGTGTATGACGTCGAAGATGGTGGTCTTCGAATTTCGCCCAGCCCATCAGCGTTGATCAACATGCCTACAGGGCCCCAAAGTGAATCCGCCAAGAAGCAAAGCGAAGGAGTTGGAAATGCTCCTGTCTAAACAGGTTGCAGCTACAACACAATTCGGCCGTCCAAACGCAGCCCCTTCCTTGAAAGCGATTCTGAAGATGAAACCATTTAGCTAGTAATGCATGAATCAAAATACTAGAGACACTTTTGGATGTCTTCTATAGCTATTTGCCGTCTAACAGACGATACGGTAGAGAAAACCGTTTGTGCACGTGAAGCAATTCTTGTTGACAGCGGGTAACCAGATGAAGGAGCTCGCACCACACAGACTTGACCGCTACCGGTACCACGGCTGCGGACTTCAAAGTTAGTTTATAAACGATTTGAAAACTTGGATAAGTTCTACTAGTATATGTTTTGGACAAAACAAATGCTGAAAATGAGATGCCAATAGTAATTTTATCAACCGATTCGAAAAACGAACTAGAGTAGACTCTAGCTAGAGAGCGAAGTTTCCATTGTTTTTCAATTTATTCACCTTTCGAAAGAAACGAGGTTCAGTTACCAAATTTGAAAACGTGGATAATTAATCCACATTTTCTATCTTAGAGGTTTTATTTACCTCGTTTTAAAGAAAGCATTCTAGCGTCGTTGGCGCAAGGGCCCAAGACTTTCAGGACGTGGCGTAGTGATCTGATCTGGGCTGCTTATGCCAACTGCAAAGCAAAGATTCTGGTGGGCTTCATGCGGGTTGGACTGATGGGTTGCCGGTATTGGAATATCATCATTATTAGCCGTGGCAGGCAGAGGACTCCGACTGCTAGCTAGAAGTGGCTGGGTCTGCATGTAGAACTCTCACGTCGAGACCTATTCTTAACCACCCAGGCAGTACCGATATGGGAGCCAGGAGCTGAGCCAGGTCAGTGACAGACAATCAACGCAATTGAAACTTTGCTCAATGTGGAGAGTGGAGGCTCACATCGCACTCATCACAAGGCACGCCGCTCACAAGTACATGTACCTGTAGTACAGAACCCGGCGCAGTTTTACCAAACACTCACGTCGAAAGGTAGAAGGAACCTACCGGTAACACCTAATACAATGTCATAGTAATGGGTACTCTCCGAGTACATGGGTACGCAAGCAAGTTCACTCATCCAGCCAAAAACAGGCAGCCACTTATCTATAACCACTCAGTTCGACCCAGCCCTGCCAGTGGATCATTGTAAAAGCACCACCCAGCTGCGATGTAGCCCAACCAGACGGCTCCGTGCTTACGATGTCTAAGACGGGTGCAGATTTTCAAAAGGCAAGTAAGAACCCGATACGTAACCTTTGAACCTTTGCTTCCCCGAAACCGGAAAAAGGAGACAGCTAGATCTACTCTTACCGTGCGGTAGCCAATAGGACCAAGCACGGTAGCTGTAGTCGCCTTTGATAGCCGCCGGTATTATTAGAGTGAGGTAGTCTGGACTAATCGTGACAATGAGATTCTTTCTGACTTTCGGTGGCGAGACTTACTGGTTGACCAATAATGATTAAATCATCTTTCTAATGGAGTACGCTGGAGTCTGGAGTGAGCATACCGAATACCGAATACCGAATACTCAGAGATAGTGCTCTCAGAGGCAGTAAGCATCATCAGATTCTTGCATCTACGAGTACGGGAACGCAGCTTATTGGTCTTTTTGTTCGCCTCGGCGCCATCTACAACTACCAAGTACCACGTACCGCTACAGTCCTCCCATGGCAGATCCTACGCACCCAATGAACAAACTGTGAGAAATTGAAGACACTCTCGCTAGCTATAATAGCTAGCTACCGGTAGCTCTCTCGCTCAAGGATGAAAAGAGTACTAAGTACTACCTATTGCTACAGACAGAGTTGCAAGAGTACTATTAGTAAGTGCTGGCATAAGTATTTCCTTCAATGTCCAGATACCCTGGAGTGTCTCTGGCATTTTTAATTGGATCGTTCTGTGGACGGTAGTGTAAAAATGATAAATGAAAAACAAAAGTCCGCCAAATCTTCAATCTTTGCACAATCTTCCTTCAATCTTTTGGAAGTTTCAGTCATGAAGCTTGCTAAAAAATGTCCCATGGATGAGCGGTAGCATTTCTCGATGGAATGCAAGGTAGCTGGCATGCTGGCATCCACAGTCGAAAGTACTTGAAAGCAATACAAAGCCGCCCCTGGACAAATGATTCGTTCAAGCTGTTACGGCACAGCGTGTGCTGCTTGGTAGCACAACTAGTAGCTACTAGAGTAGCCAGCTACTAGCACTCGATGACCGCCTCAACGTGCGCATCTGTCGGTCAGTTCGATAAGTACTACCAGGTATTAGTACTCAAGCACGCAAGCTTCAGGGAGGGCGAATCAAAATAGGAAGCCAGACAAGCAATACCAAGAAATTGGTCCAGGCTTGAACAGGGAGCCCCCACAAGCTGCCCAGTCCATACTAGTAGTAATAAACATAAACCTCTTCTGGTACCATCGCACCATTCGCTTCCTCTGCTGGTGATCTAAGAATTCACAAAACCATACCGGTAGAGAAAGGGGACAAGCTTTTGTTGTCCTCACAACTCTGAACCATTTTGTGGTTGCTGCTTCCACCTGTTTGATCATTGGATACTCCCCGTCAGAGAAGCCTTTCAAGTGACTGTTGTGTGGTTTCGGTTCAACTACTCATCGTCTCCTGCTCTGGTTTGGTTTGGGTAGCAGAACTTTGCAATTCAGGACGTGCCCTCAAGACATTCAGCCAGCCGAGTGGAGCTTTGTTGTTTCTTGATCATCGAACGTCGGACACCTTCTAATCTGCGTCCGGTGCCTCGTATCATACCAGTGTTTCATAGGTAACATGGACCAGGGAAATCGTGGAGGTCAGAAGCGGGCACGAGAAGAAACTGACAATGCACAAGGACCTGAAGAGTCCAAGCTAAGCGACACATTCCTTAGGAATGTTGCGCCACGAAGAGGCGTATCAGCACCAACAGGTACGTGGATTGAACCATTCATGTTTGTTTCAGTTTCGAAGGAGGGAAGGCCCCCCTTGTCACAAGTAGGCGCGATGACCCCATGGGAATTAGGGTGTATGCCTTCCCACTCTCACGACCACACTCACACTGGTGTTTCTTTGAATCAATCCGGCGGCCACTTTGGCTTCAGCTGTTACTGGCTGGGCTGCTGAAGAGCAAGGACAAACGGCCAACAATCCAATGGCTGATAATTTTGCAGCCGGAGCAAGAGCTTCCTTGCCAACCGATGCTGGTAGCGAATCAACACAACGTGCTCTGCAAGATACTCTGAGTGGAACTGCGTCGGTTGGTTCTGCGGGGGCTGAGGCTTCGGCGTGGAATCAGGGGACAGCAAATTTCTTCTTCAATGCTGGTCAGTTGCATCCCCAGCAACCAGGGTTTGATGTCAGTTCCCTTCTTCAGCCACAGTCCCAACGCATCCTTGCGTCTGCCTTGGCTGCACGGGGTCTGTCGTCGTCGTCGTCGGGTGCTGCATCTGCCAACAATGTATCGCATACATTCCGTGGCCAACACGTGGCTTCCGGCTCGCATGGAGTAAACGCCCTGCAACAACAAAGTACTTCCTCTAACCAGAATCCCGATATCCTTTCCATCCTTCAGCTTGCATCTAGGAATCAGCAGACATCTGATTCTGCTCAAACAGCAGACGTCAACACCCTGATCCAGTTGGCAACGGCAAGAGCCCAACTAAATAGCAGTCTGCTCGCCAATCAAGCTTTGGTAAACCCACTTCAGAGCGCATTGCTCAATGCATCCGCTACCAGTAACGCTTGGGGTGCGAATGGCCTCGACGCCATTCTCCTGCAGAGGGCTGTGTCCGCACGTCAGCTTGGACCTGCTGCGGCGCCTCCAGCAGCTCCAATGTCTCGATCAGTGCTCGACGCAAATCAGCTGCAGCAGCACAACCCTTTGGCCTCTCTAAACTTGTTTGCTCTGACAAATCCACCACTGGGGATCTTCAATTTATCGGCAGGGGGCATGCAGGAAATGATGATGCCGCCAACAGTTGAAGCCCCACACGCCAGTGCTTCATCGCCATCCTTGACTGCCCAACAACAGCAATCAACGTTGGGTGCTTCTGCAGAAGTACCACCATCAATGGCAGCAGCTTCGTCAGGGGTTCCATCCGTATCGTCGACATCATTTGCATCGTCGGCAGCAGCGTCGTCGGGAGTGCCTGCCGTAGCATCATTGCCTGGTGCCACCGCGGCAATAGGACAACAGCAGGAACAAGAACTGGGTCCTCCGGCTCCATCCGACAGCGAATCCATTCTGCTTTATACCTCCAACGACGACACCAAGATCTCTCCATATCAATGTCTTGCGAGACAACAGCTGGAGTTTTTTGTGGTTGGTCAAGACGACCTAGAAGCCGGCGCACAAGGACGCAATCGACCTATTGTCCTTGGGCAGGTTGGCATTCGCTGCAGATGGTGTGCTAAGATTCCTCATCGGCAGAAACAGAGGGCGTCAACGTACTTTCCAGCCAAGCTAGCTGGTGTCTACCAAACTGCCCAAAACATCACTAATTCCCATCTTTGCCAGCTATGCCACTGCATCCCAGTGTCGATTCGTCGTGACCTGCAGTTGCTTCAATCGAAGAAGTCTGGAACCGGCGGTGGACGCCGGTACTGGACAGAGAGTGCCGAGGCGTGCGGTGTCTATGAAATTGAAACCGGAGGGTTGCGGTTACGACGAGATGAAGGCTGAAACCACAAGAGGCCCTTTCATCTCAATCCAAGCTCTAGAGAGTCAGGAAACACAGACAGACATTTTCCCTTGCCGTCTCCTCCGACAGACGACAGACCAATCAAGACAATGAAAAGCGTTTTTTCTGGTGGTATCAGGTATCAGTGCGCTTGGTGGTGCAAATTGACCATCCACAAAAGAGCATCCGAATGAACCGATAATTCTTCTTCACTTGCCTAACTAATGCCTCGGTGTCTCGTATGGCACTCCGATTAATCGAGGCCTTAATTCTAGAAATCCCATATGGCAACAGGACTATGAGCAAAAGCATAGTAAGTAGCATTTTACGGTACTTTCTACACGCAGTTGGAGACAGCCAAACACAGTCATCAATCTTGAATCTTGAGAGTGACAAGTCTGATAGCATAACTGAGTATATGGGCGGAGTCTGGCATCACTCGGTGGCCACTACAAGGAATGTGCAGTAGATGGACGCTTGGGGAACGAAAGTTTGAGCCTTCCACGAGTAGTGTAAACCTACCGGTATCTGTAAACGCAATCTGGTTACCATACCTGAAACGAGGACCTAAAAGTTGAAATCTCTCCGTTTGTTTGTCGAGGGCAGAACGGGTGTGGGCGCGAGCCCTGATCTCGCTCCTCCTGTGACTTTTGGTTGCATTCGATGTTTTGTCTATCTGTCTCATTGGATTTGGTAGTGGGAAGAAGAACGCATTGTGGCTCTCGTAGGTACTGGCTTGGTTCGCTTCTCTACGAGTACTAGGTACGGTGTCGAAAGCTGCACTCCTTGATCGAGACCGTCGGACGGTCTCCTTGGGGCAAAGGTCGAAGCAGGAGAACGTGGCGTGGAAGGGAGGGAAAAGGTGAACTCTAACCCTGGACACAGATACTACCTTCTTCCTCGAGCCACATCTAAGACGCCAAAGCTTCGGAAAGAATTTGCTTTGGAAAGAATTTGCACGGGTGAAGCCTGCACACGACGATGACGATGTGCTCGAGTGAGGACAAAAGCAGCCTTCCTTGCCTATCTTTGGTTAAAAGAAAGTCCCTCGCTCAGAGTCAGGTGAATCCCGGTGTTACATGGGATGTGGAGGCGCTCAACTTCCTGCAGATCCAGGGCCGCAGTACTTACTTGATGGAGCTAACAAAGATGATTCATTGGAGATTTGTGTTCGTTGCTGGCGCCGCCACCACTGAGGATTTGTTGAGACCAGCGTTAGATAGCGGTATCAATAGGTGGAAGTGCGTTGGCGTCGCACTTGCACCTGGTGACCAAGAAGAAGGTCCGGTACGGATCTGCCACGGAAGGATCCATCGTTCCATTGCCTTTGGAATACTGCCATCATCCCACCCTGGAATCAATCTCCTCCGTTCTGGATCATCTGCAATCTTTTGCCATCTTCGATGAAGCCCACAAGACGTGTACCTGAACGAAGAGAGCACATGATTTGATGTTTTCTTGGCTCCCTCTGGTGAAACGAGATCTCCCTTGCTTGGCTTGCACAACTGTGGACCCACCGTCAGTGGTGGATCATGGAGCCTTTGAGCTGAGGATTGTCGCACTTTGCATTTACTTGTACGAATATCTCAGATGACTATCCAAGCACGCCGCTCAATTCAAACTAAATGTGCATTGGATACAGCATCGAGTACGGTAGGTAGCGACAGTCCCAGTAGCATCCAAAGATTTGCCTCAACCAATCTTCTCGCATGGGGCACAATCCGTGCTCGTCTCTCGCCGTCTCGTCAAGCCAACCCTTCCCGGACTCCCTCCCGGTATCCACAAGATTGGACTTGTGGTAGTGAGCCGATCTTGTCGGGGTTATCCGCAGACTGAAGGAAAGTGTACTTCAACGATAGCGGAACGGGCAAAGGATGAGTGGCTCACGAGGAAATTTCCCCTTGCATATTGGCTTCTGATGAGTCGCCGCTGTCGCCTTTCATAGTCTGGATGAGAAACTCGAGTTGCCAGATAGTGAGCCAAGGAAGAAACAGCATATGTCGTGCCGACGGTATCAAGTGCACCCAGGAGTTTGTGGCTGAATTTCTTGAGCGCTAATCTTGCTGGTCGGATGTTGAGATGAATTCTCGCCGTATCAAATTGGAGTTTTCAAGTGTATCGCATTAAGTCTCTCTCGACTGATTGGTGATATACTCGTTGTGTTGGAGACGAAGCATTTCCAAAGGTTCAATGTCTTGGGCCAAGCAGTCAACTGTGTATCTGTGGAACTGCATGATCATACACCGACGGAGTAGAAGGGATCCAGGCGAATGACCAGTATGGGGGTATCATCATGCTCATGAGTAGCAACCGCGGTGGGCAAAACTACCAGAACGCCAGGACCGAACATCAGCGTTGGTTGTTGCGTCACAGCCTCCAGCTTTGCTTCGCTCATGCAGTTCGAGTGAGGTCCTGGTTGGCGCACAAAGGATGGGCAACCCAACATGCAGACGGAGTCTTCTTCCCTCCAACCCTCCAGTAATGCCCAATCGTCACTGAGAATCATGGCGAATTACATACAATATACTTTCATCACTGAAGGCACTTTATCAACGGACCTCATGGAGTGGCACTGTAGACCCGACCCTCAATATTCTCAGGTCGTATTGAGCTTCGATCTGACAGATGACCGCACATCGTTGGAGGTTCAAGAGCTCGGCAGAGATGTGATCTGTCACTAATATCCACCAACCCTCTTGCTGCCGGAGGAAGTGTCAGGAGTTTGATGAAGACAATGCACAAAGGAATGCTCTACTATGCGTGCCGGTGCCGCTCCAACCATGCGCAGGATACTTCGGAGTGAGAGGACACCATCCTCTCCAATGGAACCCTACTAGTAAAAGGTAGGTGTTTGAGCGACGGAACCATAGCATGCAACCAGTCAGCGGTCTGTGCAATTGCATTGGCTGACATACAGAAGGGGTGGAGCAGAGAGAGCGAAGTTGGGAGCAGGAGCCGCTCCAGAATGGATGGAGTATACGGCGAGAACCAAAGAACCAAACTCCTGCAAGAGCCTTTGCAACTCACAAGCACGTGCCCAAATCGAGGAGAGGCTTTTTCCAGTTTCCGGAACACTCTCTGCTGATCCTGTTTTCCAACAAGTACCTGGTACTGGTACCAGGTACCAGGTACTTTGCTCCTTTTCTATTCAGCTCATCTTGAGGCGTCCGCAAAGCCTTTTAGTACTATTGAATGATACTTTCGTGGATGGAAAGTTTACGAACGCTCGTACATGTATGTACTCTGTACTCACTAAGATTGCCCAATTGTCCCCCGCGAAGGACCCTGAACGGAGCTGAGGCACTGAACCTTCCTCGTCGATCAATCAGCGCATCATGGACTGTCGCTCCTCTAAAGCAAACTACGTTACACGCCACTGCTCACTGTTCGCTGTGCAATCAAGCAGTGTTCAAGGTGTGGTAGCTGTAGTGCCAAATGACCTTGTGGAGCTGCACTAGAGCAAGTAAATGGATCCCACGCACGGCCGGGCAGCCATGTTCACGAGCCCACTGCAGCAATTTCAAGTGCCCGTTAGAAGCTGCTGCATAGCTTGTCCATTCATCCCATGGACAGCCATTTGCATGATCATGTCTGAGGACATCCAAATGTCCATAGCCAGCAGCTGGCTGCCGAGGTTGCTGTGCCATCCCATGGACAGCCATGGTCATGGGCCAACCGTAGAACCTGAACATTTGCAGTTTTGGCAATATGGGCACATGTCCATCGATCCCATGGAAAGCCACACTCATGGGCATACCCAAGAATGGCCACATTAAAGATTGCAGAACTGCAAAATGTACTGGTGCTAGTTGCATGCTTGTTGTCCTCAGTGGCATTTATAAGAAGGTTTTTGAGTCAAGGCGGGGTCTCCACAGAGCCACAATACTTTTTTAGAGTCGATTTAGCTGCATGTTGACTCCTCCAGCAAACAAACAAAATGACCCATTCCAACTGAGGGAAGGATCTAGTTGAGCCAAAGGTCCTTTTGATCCAACAAGAGAGGCATACGATCGGTACGGGCACTGGCGCTGGGAGCTTCTGCTGATGCGGAGGGCATGATGGTATTCAATGAGATGCTTCCTGTTGAACGGGACGGCGGTGTGCCGTGGAAAGGAGATGCTCCTCTGCTGTTGGCTGTTGGTGCTCATCAGAGAAGCTTTTGGCTTCAAACCAATGCGCAAACCCAGGTTGGAGCAAACCCAAATAAACGCTAACCCTATCGGTTTTTGATCTCAGTTCCTACGTCCATCGGGATCATTTTGGCCAAACACTGCCGCAGTGCCCACAATCCCCACAGTCGACCTTCGTTTCTCGTTTCGTATTCTTCCAAAAGGCGATGAAGATGTTGCAACCTCAGCTCCATCTTGATGATACTAATCGAAGGAACCATGAAGCGCCAATATCCCAAACGAAGAATCGTCAAGGTGACATTCCTTTGGATCCTTTGGTAACTCTGCAAACTACTATGGACCCTCAAACAGGGGCTGACACTCCCATGGGAACCGCTGCCAGTCGATCGTCAGTTGCTTCCATTTGTTTTGTACCACAAATTCATCATGGTGATCACATGAACAACAATCCATGTATTGAAAACAAAGTACAGAACGAAGATGGTAACGATGACAGCAGTAGCAGCAGTGACGACGATGATGATGGTCCCATTTCGTTTCAGTGCTCCCGCATACTGCTATCTGAGAGTCTTGCCAAAAATGATCCTACACGAATGGCTCGACAGCAAGTGGCCGCTACATCACTGCTTATGGGACGATATTTGGCATCCTGTCATGCCAATGGGGACTGCCTCTTGTGGGATTTGTCCAAGAGACAAGCCACCACTGCCCATTTCATAGATGACAGAGGACCAGGATGGTCCTTGCGGCGACTGCACGACAACCAACACTTTCTCTATCAAACACGAGACTTAAGGGGGACCATATCTTTACATCATTGGGAAGGTGCAAATAATGGCAATAATATGGCCACCACTCTATCTTCCATTCCAACCCACTCGCAGACTTTCTGCGCAGCGGCTCCCTGTCATTCCAATCCAAATTTGGTCGCCTTGCCCTCTGCCGATGATGCTGTTGCCACCATTCGAGATTGGAGAATCAAACCAACTGCATCACCTGTGGCGGTCTTTCCAGGAGCGGGACTGGTTCCCGAAGAGCAAGATAATGTCATGCCGATGGACCATGAAGGATACTTTGCCAGCCGTCGTCGACATGGAATGTTATCCAGTCTCGCCTTTTCCGAGTCGACTATCATCTCAGCAGGCGGTAGTCGACCCATTGTGGCATGTGGAATGGAATCAGGGACAGTGTTCTTTCATGATTTACGCATGTTGATGGATCATAAAGAAACCACAATCTCGCCTGCTACTGTCAGCAGCATCAAGCTCTCTACTGATCCAGTTCTGGCATTGGATATGGCACCGTCTCATGGCCCACAAGCAAACGGAGTTGTGGCAATTGCAGGCATGGCAGGGGAAAGCATGGGACAGCAAGAGCTACCGGAAAAAGAGCAAGGGACAGTGGCCATTCTCAAGGCCACTATTGGGTCTTTTGCTAGTGACAAAAACAACAACAATACCATTCAAGTGCGTGTCAGATCAAGGATCCCTACTTGTCGTACAGGTAAACCCGGAATCAACCAACTTCGATTTCAACCAGGAGGTGGACGATTATTTGCCGTGGCAGGATGGGATCAACGGTTACGAATCATGGGCCGAGCTGCCGTCAACAACCGCGACAAGTCGCATCTGAAGGCCATTTTACGAGGACATGACGACAGTGTCTCTGCTATGGATTGGGCACCCAACAGCAACTGGTCTGGATTGTGTGCCACAGGAGCGGCCGATGGGAAAATCCACATATGGAGGTGTTTTTCAAAGACTAAAGAGCAGAGTATCGACAAGCCTATTGCAATTCACAGGCAAGAAGACTAGGTAGATATGGCAGCAACAGTGACCAAGGACTAGATCCGATATCCCTCACAGAGACCCTGTGGATATTCAATGTTGTCAAGTCATATACTCCAAAGACATAGTCAACAGTCATCAGCAAGGAAGAGACCAAAATCACACCACCTAGGCAAAACGCGATGTAGGAGTTGCGTTCGAAGTAGCGTCCATTGGCGCTCTTGGCTTGACGGGCTTGATGCATCACCTTGTTTCCGAACAGGGAAGCAAAGAAAGGAACCACAAAGCAAACAATGGCATAGTTGTACAGAATCAGGCCAAAGACCAGGTAGGAACTGGCAGATGGAAAACTGGTAAACAGAATTCATGGCACTGGAAGTGGCGCTCACAACTGCTGGATGGCTCCCATCGCAAGCATGAGTGAGACTGTTACCATGCCACCACCGATACCGAAGAGCCCTGTAAAGAATCTGGTCGTGCGTTCCACCCACTCGTGGAGATGCTGAAGCCACAGAAGTGAAAAAAGCGCGGTGGCAAGGGCAAGGGCAATGTCGCAGTACGTGCCGGTGTCTGAGGGCTACATTGGATGCATGCGTGAGCGGGCCCGAGCTGCCCGCAGTTGCAAAGGTTTTCCTTGCTCGAAGTTTTAGAAATGGATTGCCATTCTGGCACATAGCCAATCACTTTCGCACGGCTTTCAACCCACATCTTGTTTGGCCATACCAGATCCAAGCGGATGCTTTTGTTCAGTGCTGGGTGGATCGTACAACGTAGTTTAGGGGTTTCCACTACAATGTCTATTTGCTTGCACTGATTTTCAGCCAACCCTGTCCACCCCTGTTGATACCGTTGCATTTGAGGGGCACGCTTCGACAGTCAACTAACTAGAGACTATGGAACCGAGTGACCCAGTCAAGAAAGAAAACAGTAGAAAGTCTCATTGTACAAGGCACCGCCATTGCAAGGTCGTCAATTGCCTGATCCGTCCACTGGGCCATTTCCGTAAAGCAGTAATCGCTTCGTCCTTGTCTCTTCCAAGTCATGTGTTCAGTATTGACGGCTACGTTGCGAAAGAATGTTTTGCAAACACAGTCCATCGTCACGACTTCGCCAAATTTCAACTGCTCCCAGTTGGCCGTGGGTGTCGACAACAGATAGTCGTCGTTGGTAGGGTGGGTTGCGACAAGAGATAGTCGTTGTTGGTAGGGTCCGCGTATAAGTGCATGATGCTGCACAAAACAGCGAGGCTTGAACTGCTAGCTTCGGCACAGCGGCCGATAAAAGTAGCTCCCTGAAGGAGTCCACCAAGTTTTTCGTCGCGAGAAAACAAGCCCAAGAATTTGCTTGTCGTCTCCTCCTCCACTGGTACCGTACCGGCACGGCCAGCCGTCATGTTGTTGCAGAATTCCGAGTCTGGCAGCCTTCTCGGAACAGCCTCTCCTTGGAGTTTGGAGGTCAGGTGATGCTGACGGGTGGCACCGGCCATGCCTCAGGTGATGGAGACGTCCTGCCTCTGTTCCCCTTACTTCAATGGGCCTTGCTGATGCCGACAGCGGGCATGCCGACAACATCCTCGTCGTCTATCTATTGACATCGTTTGCAGGGAGAAAGAAAAATAAGCAATCTCAACTTTTCAAATATTATGATGCCACCTCTTACCGTACCGGTACTGTACCCACAACACTGGATCCAAACTTGTGGAGCACTTTCCGGTACCAGGTACCACCTGGTACTTGCTCTAGCGGCTGAGCTAGCTTCTTTTAGCCAGCTGTAACCCCCACCCTATTAGTAGCCTCCGCTGTTGTCCCGTTCGAAGCAACTCGACGCCGAGACGCCCACAACGCCACAACCACAAATAGCTATCATTGTCGCAGTGTTGTTACAGTTGAGAGATGACAGATCAAAAGAAGCATCGGGTTGACGGTGATGAATCGACGGGACATATCATGGTAGTAGGCGATGTGGCGTCCACCAACATGCAGCCTTTGCAATCGGCGATTGAAACTGGGGATGATGGAGCCATCACAGCTGCCTTGAGTCAACTCCTGGACGAATCAAAAGATGAAAGGGTCTTGATGGACCGGATACCTGTGCTAGTGTCAATCAAGGGAGGCGATGGAGAGGAGGAGGAAGAAGAAGAGGATGATGACAAGGAGACGACAATGGTTGAAGAAACTGCTGAGACTTCACCAGAGGACACTTCTATCCAAATGTTTTCACTTATTGTCACGTCGGAACGATGTCTGTTTGTTGCCTCCTCACAAAGCCATCAAAACGATGCTGAAACATCCAGCAGCAACATTGAGACTAACCCTTCCAAGTTAGGTGACAGCTTTCAAGTGGAAGCAGAATCCATCCAACTGCATGCCCAATCCTCGGAGCCGGTGTCAGTGTACCTACAAGTGGAGGTCGCAGATGAAGAGTCCCTTCCTCAAGAAATTACCATTTTACCAGGCAAAAAATACGAGGAAGAGGAAAAAACGAAACTCTGTGAAACACTATTCGAAAACATTACCCAACTCATTGAACTGCATCCAATACAAGACGAAAGTGGCAGCGCGACTGGCATGATGGGAATGATGAACAATATGATGGCAATGATGGGGGAGCAGCAGCAAAATCCAATTATCATGGGAGTAGACAACAATGACAATCTGGAGGCAACACCAGAAGAACGGGCTGTCATGTTGGAAAGATTAGACAACATGTTGGTGGTCAAACCGGGGTTGGAAGTCGTCAACGGACAATTTTCAGACGCAGAGGAGGATTACGATGAAGAGGAAACAGTTAAGCAGCAGCAGAAACCAACAGCAATCCAAGAACCATCCAAAAATGAAGGACAGAGTGCGGCAGATGGGAAACAAGCCACTGGGCAGTTCGATGATGTGGATGATCAAGGTGATCCTTTGTTGTGATAGGCACACCGCTTCCATGTATACAATTTCTCGACACATGCGAAGACTGTAGTAAAGCTTCTCTCTTCATATAGTGCTTTGCAAACTGTAGTGAAGCTGCTCTCTTTGTAGTATTTTGCTTCCTGTCAATGAGTTTTTCTTGAGAGGCATAGTGTCTCCAATCCTGCCAAAACACTGCTTGAGTTCTTCAGTTGTTATGCGCCATGTCCCCGTACATGTTTGTCAGAGTGGGGTCAGATGATGCCAACAAACAGTGTCTAATGGTACAATGAGTCTAGTAGTGAAATTGTGAAACATGAACTAGCTGTTAAGCAATGTGGATTATGAACTAGGTTTTGATTTTAAAATTCATTGGATACTCAATTCTTCTTGTTCGGCTCAATATTGCGAACAGACTCATCGTCGTCGTAAAGGTCCGAGAACCCAGTCTGATAGGGCATAGCCAAAAACGAAGCATTCCTCTTTTTCACTTCCTTTGTCTTTATGGCATCTTTGGGAACCTGCTGGCCAAAAGGAACCACGACAGTACTTTGGCGGTTGCTGCGTTTCGACCCCTCCATAGATGTAGATAGAGTACTGCTGCTTCGGTGAGATACCGATTCGTTCCTTTCAGCAGGGCCATTGTTGGCTGTCTCCCCTTCCTTCTCCTCCATGGATTTCTTGATACGTTCTTTGAGGGCAGCGGCGCTGTGGCGTCCACTGCCTGTACCTGTCCGCGAGGATTGGTGTTTTTTAGTGAAGGCAGCAACAACCGATGGAGGCAACGGTTCAACCGTAGGCACTGTCAATGCCTCTCCAAGAACATTTTTCACGCGGGCAGAAATTCCTTTATCCTCAGCAGCAGCGGCTTCCTCATCGGAGCCTGAGTCACCGTTCGTGACTAGCATGTGCCGCATGGACGCTTGCCGCATAGTTTCCGCCGAACGACGACCTCCCATAGGACTGTGTGATGTCGAACGGCGACGATCGCGAACTCCGCTGGCTCCATTTTTGGACGCCCTCAATCTTCCCGACGAAATACGTCTGCGTGGGTCTTCGGGTGCATCTTCGTCGTCTGTGTGTTGGTTTGTTTCTCGTTTGTGGTTCGATGAAGAGAGACTAGGATTGCTGCCATGGCGACGTCGACGGTGACGAATGTGACCATTGGATACACGCTTGGGTTCGTTGTCGTCATCATCATCTGTCCCATCAGTATCTGTCTTCTTTGGAGGAATACCATTGATCGAGGCCAAGACACCCTGCGCCATGCGACGATTTTTGCCAGCTGCCCCTCTATTCCCAGCTCCCCCAGCCATTGTGGCTCGGCGGGGAGAGCGTGTGCGTTGCACTCGGGAAATTAATGAAGGGTCACTGATACGCTTTGGCAGCATTTCTTCTTCGTCGTCATTGTCATCGTTAGTATTGCCGACACCAATGTTGCGGGCTTGAATGGTGGCACGACGGGGAGACCTCGCCCGAGGCGCCGAAGCCTTTGTTAACAAGGACGGATCACTGGAGTTCTTGCGAATGGAGGGCAACGCCTCCTCCACATCATCGCTCTTGTGACCCCTACGATTTGTGCGACGACCCCGCTGAGAGTCCGTCTTGTTGTCTCGTCTCTTGTGCATTCGAGACACGATTGCGCTCGTGGACTTTTGAAAGATTTCTGCGTTTGCCAAAGCCTTTGACTTTCTGTCCTCGTCTTCGTCTGCGCTCGCCAGAGCCTTTGTCATCATATCACCATCCATACTGCTTGCACGACGAAGGGGCTTGACTCGGTCAGGCCGCCTACGAGATACGTCTTTACGAGTTAAGCCGTCATCGCCACTTTGGGTCTTGCGAGGTGAGCGCTTGGTTGCTTTGATAGTCTTCTTCTCTCCACTGTTGTCACTGTCACTACCTTTACTGGTTTTGCGCACGATTTTTTTGTCCCTGGACTTTTCGTGGCGAGAACTTTTTAGCGAATCCTTAGATTCTCTTTTTCGTCCCGTGGCTTCCTTCATTTTCTTGGGGTCCAAACTGCTGCTTCGGCGAACTTTTCTGGTAGGCGATAAGGAAACAACTGTGTTTCGACGAGGACTTTGACTACGAGGAACATCGGGAGCAGAAGCCTCCTCGGGTAAGCTTGCAGTTTTTCTGATAATTCGTTTGCTCTTGCTGGATCCTGCAGACTTTTCGCTTTTGTGGGTTCTTGAACTGCTGACAAGACTGCTGCTGCTGGCCTTCCCATGATGAAGAGATGTACTGAGAGGATCCCTCATTTTCCGGGCTTTGCTTCTCTTCTCTTCCTCCTTGAGAGCGTCGAGACCACCAACCGCTGCCTTCAATGCGAGACCACTGAGACTGCTGGTTCTTCGCAAAGCTCCTCGGTTGGGAAGAGCCGTTTGTCGTCGGGAGTTCTTGCTGGGAGCAGGAACAACTGGCATATTCCCGAAACTTTTGACCGGGCGGAGCTTTTTCTCGCCAGTGTTTGCAGGAGCAACGGGCTTGATGCGATCGGGCTGTCGCTGCTTTTGTGCAGCCTTTTGATACAACTTGTCCACCAAAGATTCATGAGAGCCCCGAATAGAAATCTTTTCCATTGCTTTGAGGTTGGCTGCCGCCAAATCAGGAGCCTGGTAGCTGCTATCAGGGGCCGATTCGTCCATTAGTTCGCGGAGCTTGTTGGATACTTCTTCCATTTTTTTCGTTGAAACGTCCATGACGGTGGTACCATCACCACCGTCCTGGTTTGGTAAGCCATCCTGCAACCCTTCCACCACTTCCACCCCCTTTAGAATTGCATCCACGTCCAACCTGGAGTAATCCTTGCTGACGGTTGATGTACTTGCAGTCTCCAGCATGCCTTGGTCTGGCGTTGCCATTGTCATGGTCCCTTTATCTTGGTCGAAAGGAAAAATTATGGGAAATGAGAATCGTCCTGTGGTTGTAGCTTATTTTTTAGAAATCGAGCAGCAACAGGCAGGTCCAACAGGTTCCCTAGTGCAGTCCCAGCGTTCCAGCCAGCGATAAGTTTCGGCAAGGGAGATGTGCTCTCTTTCCCCAAGCAAGTGCAGAAATGGCTCGTCTATTGACGACCAAAATGTCTTTCTCCTCGCCACTGAAACAGTAAAAAACTCAGTCTTATCCAATGCCCTCTTGTTTAGTTGCAGCGTTGCAGCAATTATTTGGCAAGGGGTTAAACACCTTGAGACATCAGGTCAATTCATAAACAATTTCTTATCGTAATTATAAAATAGTCACAAAAACGTCTTTTTTAAACAGTCCAACCTTGGTTGGTATTTACTGTTTATTCCTTACTGCCATGAGGTCAGTAAAAGGAGCAGTAATGGCAGTAATGCAGTAATTCCTCAGTAGCAGTAATCATACACAGTAATTTAGAGCCAATTGAAGGCAGTAAACTACAGTAATTGCAGTAATATAGGCTAATTACTGTCATTTACTGTCATTTACTGGATATTCCTGTTGCATAGCCCGATTACTTACTGCATGGGATTACTTACTGCAGTAACTAGGGGGCCAACAATGGCAGTAATTGGACAGTAAGGAGCCAGTAACCCGGATTTACTGCAGTAAATACCAACCAAGAGTCCAACACTGGCAGGTTCATACCACATACCGGTACCATGCAAGTATTTGCAAATTCTTGTAACACTCTACTAGCTACTGGACCTCTGTGGAAACTCGAGTCGTGCAACCGATCGTCTCCTAAATCCTTTTGATCGTCTCCTATTTAACGGATTTCGTCTCCTAAAAATAGGAGACGAAACGGATCGTCTCTTAAATCTTTCGTCTCCTCTTAAATCGTCTCCTATTTTCAACGGATCGTCTCCTATTCTCAACGGATCGTCTCTTAAGTACACCATGTAAACTGTATGGTATCGTCTCCTAAATCTTTCAGATCGTCTCCTATTTCGAAACGATCGTCTCCTAAATGGAATGTCTCCTAATGAATCGTCTCCTAAATATAGGAGACGATTGCTTTCGTCTCCTAAATCATTTCGATCGTCTCATAAGCCTTGATGTATCGTCTCCTAAGTAATTTGCCGCGAATGACGTTTCCACAGAGGTCCTGGAGTAGCTAGCTAGAACGAGCCAATTCCTCGATCCACGAATCAAAATTAATAATATTAATAAGTCTTCAAGAGGCTGTTGCTGGTTGCTGGTACCGGAACTGTCACTCGACTCATAAACATAAAGATTACGTTTTCTGGAGTGCAGTGCTAGGTACCGGTACTGGTACACTGGTACCAGTACCAGGTACTAAGATAAGACAATAATATTAATACTACTAGGAGCGCACTTCTGGGTCGCTTCTAATCGTACAGTAGCTAATTTTCAGTGGTTGTTGTTAAACCGTCCCATTCAATGTCTGACTTAAAGGTCATGATCAGGAGCCTTTTCTACTGACGAAGCATCGACAGTTCTTCAACTACTAACTACATGTACCAGCACCTCGCGGTAAATGACCTCCGAGTCTTCTTTGTCAGTCATTTTCCGAAAAATAGGAATTTCTCTTTTTCTTTTTGGGGGAAGAGCAGGCATACCTCCTTCAACGAGAATGCATGTCATGGCTTGGCCGGTGCAGGATTACAATGGATCACTGGCTTCTGTTCTTCGGAACACTGGCTTTGAAGCCAGTGTTCCGAAGATGGAAGCCAGAGAGAAGCCAGTTTTCCAAGGAACACTGGCTTCGATCCAAAGCCAGTGATCGGCAGTGTTCGTGCCACGTGGACCGTCACTCTCTTTCAGCGATGCCGGTATCGATTATCCTAGCCATTTTGGTCGTGCAGTTTTGCTCTGGAATCTGGATCGTCCGCCGCATGACCCATCCTTCTCGCCGTCAGCTTTCTCGGCACAAAAATATTGGTTTCAGCGGGCTAAGCGGCGCGCTGCTCTGGATGCATAGCTATCATGTCTCCACAGAAATGGGATGAAAATCACCCTGCCAGGATTCTCCTCCTCAAGGAAATGAACGAAGGCAGAATCCCCTTGGATTCCAATGAAATGGGACCAGCTGAAGTCTACTACAAATATCACAGTACAGTGGAATTTCAAGTGGAGGGCATGGAGTACAACAGCACATTCACCAGCCGCCTAAGGCGTTTGAGAGAACAGATAAGAAGAGATCAAGGGAAGCCTGAGAAGGCAACAAAGACAAAGACAGCAAGAAAGAAGAAGGACGTCAGCCTGACATGGAATGAAAACCATCCAGCAAGGATTCTCCTTTACAAGGAAATCGCAGAAGGCAGGATCCCTCTTGATGAAAAGGAGATGGGACCAGCTGAGGTCTGGTGTACATATCATGACACCCTTGAGTTTCAAATGGATGGTGTTGAGTTCAATGACAACTTTGCTACTCGCCTAAGCAGTTTGAGAGCTATTGTAAAGAGAGATCAAGGACGGGCAGCAAATGATAGGAAAGCTCTGGAAAAAGCAATGAAGAATCACCCAGTACAAGAATTGAACCACCGTGGTGAGCCCCAGTGGAATGGATCCTTGGCACAAGCATTGTTGCAGCAGGACATGGCCGAAGGAAAACATGAGACCATGCGTCCTTCTGAGCTCTGGGAGGCGAGGCCAGAGTACAAAGAAGCCTTCTCAAGAAAGGATGACTTCAGATGGAAGATTCGGCAAGAGATCCGCACCAAGAAGTATCTGTACACTCTTGAATATAGAGCTGAAGAAAAACTGCGAAAGAATTTAAAGAAGGAAGGGATAGTGTTGCCGGACCAGGATGAGGACCTAGATGGTGTCATGGACTTGGAGGAAATGGAAGATACCTAGCTAGCTAGATAGAGTCAAGTAAGTTAGTTGGCATAGTGCGATTCATGGTGCTGGCTACGATGAAACTTTCGGCGTGTTTGGGAGCAGTCGGTTGGTCGTGTACGAAGCGATTCTGCCTTTCCGTCCAGGTCGCAGTCGGTTGGATCGGTCCTAACAAAGGGAACGACTCGTCTCTATTCAGTGGGCATGATCGTAATCGCAATAAGCAATGGTAGTGGAGCGGAGGATCGAGCTGTTGGAAGACTCTAAGACTAGCAACGTGATAAAAAAAGGTACTGGTGCTAGATGTAAGAGTGAGAGGAAAGAATCCTCGGACGACCGGCAGCCTGGAAGTCGCGTGAATCTCCATCAACCCATGGCCTGTCATTGTCACTCCATGCAAGCAAACGTCGCCACTCCCCTTGAATTCTTTTTGCAGCGTACAAATAATATTACGTCCTGGCTAGCATCATCCTGACGCAGGCTATTTAGCTAGCTAGTAGTAGTGGCCTACATGTACTGAGTAGAGCTGAAGGAGTTTGAACTGGTAAATCGATCTTCACTAAACTATAAATGGGTTTGTTATGAGACTACATTTTGCCTTCTTCAATACGGATATCTCTGCCAGGCTCCATCGCCATGATCCATTATTTCCTCTTGGTTGGAGGCTCCAATAATTCTTCTCCATCCATCTCAGTGTCAGTGTCAGTTTCTTCATCACTACTGGCTTCGCCCCAAGAGCGCTTCCTCTTGATGGTCCCAGTACCGGTACCACAGCTTTCACCGTCACTTCCACTATCCTCTGCTCCCAGCAGTGCATTTAGATCATCCTCTGCAAGGAGATCGTCAAGGCCTGCCTCATTTTCAGAAACAAATTTTTCAAGATCAGCAATCATGGCATCACACCAAGCAATGTCACCGCCCTTTTCTTCTTTCAGCAACTCATGTGCCTTTTCCATTCGGCGAGCATGGCGGTAAGCATCAACCGAGTCTTCATCGTCCGAGTCTTCTTTGTCTGTGTCCGCCTCTGATCCTGCACCAATGCTCGCCTCTGGTGAGGTGGTTGACTTTGCCATTATTTCTTTTGTCTTCTCATGGGAGGTATCTGCGGCAACGATAAGACCCTGGAGGAAGTTTGCATCAATGCCAGGGGTGGGGCTTTTCAATCTGGCTTGGTTCTGTTTTTCCGCTCTCCTTTCTTTCCTCCTCTGCTCCGCTGTGAGAGCACGCGAAACTTTGCTACTTGGTTGCGGCTTGAATGAGTTCTTCCGGAGCTCTTCCGTCATCTCTTGGGTGTCTCTTGTAGGTGGGTTGGGAGCCAGGCTAAGTGTTGGGGCAGCAGCGAACAAGACCGATGGTATGCCTTGAGGAACCGGTGGTAGTTTCGGCACTGTCTCCAGACTGAATACAGGACCAGGCTTGACAGTTGGGTTGCTACACGCTTGGGCTCTTAACGTTTCAATATCACAGATTTTCATCCGCTCCTCTTCTTCAGACTCCTCATCTTCAGACTCCTCGACTTCAGACTCCTCGACTTCAGACTCCTCGTCGTCAGAGTCTGATTTTGCAGCTGGCTTGGAATCAATACTAATAGATATGCCTAATACAAAATGGACAATTGGAATGGCACAAAACATTCATTAGTAAATTACTTTTGACAACACACAGAGCTCTCAGCCAAGTGTCATACCGTTCATCAAATCCTCTAGTTGGCGTGCAGCATCGCTCTTTTTATCTTTCTTTCCAACCTTGCCTTTTTTGCGAGCCCTAATGTCAACTCGGGCTACTTTCCAGGCAGCAAACATTGAAGTGTACTTCAGCTTTGGTTGCTTGGGATGTGTCACGGTGACAGGTAGCAGTTGAAGCTCTAGCTTATCGTCTTCGCCCGAATCACCGTAGATTTCCTTGGCAGACAACTTTACTCTCTCTGGAAATTCCAACACTAGATGCTTCCACTTTCTGTCTTCCTTGATTTCACCAGAGGATTCATCATAAATGTCATGATGAGCCCCATCTAGAGCTTCGAGTTCATTGGGCTGGACATTCTTTTTGAATTCATCTCTGTCATAGAGACAAGAGTAGTTCCAAGCTTGAGTGGAAAGCAAAATCTTATTCTTTGCAATTATACGAGCACTCCAGTGAGCGGCGGACATGTCATCCAAGATGAATCTGATGTCAATAGGCAAGACAATCCAGAAGCCACTATAGAGCTGGTTCTTCTTGTCCCCGGCACCTGCAATCCTGTCTAGTTCGTAGATCCCAGCTTCTCTGTTTGCCTCAGGGCGTTCGGTGTTGACCTTGATGGTGAATGTGTTGTTGTCATTCATGATTTGTGGCTTTGGTGTCTCAAAAATTGAGGATGCGAGCTTGGTGGTGGCAGGCTTGGTTAAGATTGGCTTTGGAGATCGGCTTGGTTGTGCTGGTTGCGGGTCTGGCTCAGTGTTGGAGTTGCCACCAAATTTGTTGTCTTGAATGCTGCTGGTGGTATCTGGGGTATCAGGGATGCCGTTTGGTTCAGACCACTTTGTGTTTTGCTGAAGGACCAAGGGAATAAACACAGTTCGGTAGAATTTCTCCTTGTTGTACTTCCTCCACCTAAAGACCACGTTTCTGATTTGTTTGCGCCTTCTGCTTCCTCGTTCACCGTAGATGGTCTCTTTGCCTTTGAGAAGATCGTCAAGAGAATAAGCACTGTCTTCAAAGGTGTGTATGCCTCCAGCCAATTCTATATCCTTAGCCAGCTGTCTTTGGATCTCAACAGGAAGTCCTTTCTCTGCTGAAGGTCCTTTGAAGTTGTCTGATGGTTGAGTTTGTGGGTCCATTTTCTTGGGGGAAATCTTTAATGAGGCTGTGAAAAATGCCACGAGCTGGTTGGCGAGGCTGGCTGTGATCCTGTCGTGGATAGAAGCAAGGCAGATCTGGCAAAAACGGCTAATGTGAGGAGCTAGCTAGTGCAGTCCTGCTGGATCGATTTCGAGCCATTTATTAGTGATATCGATGTGGGACCAGCCAACCTCGCACCTCTGTGGAAAGTTGGCCCGCCTCCCGGAAGGCAGGCAGGCTTTCTCGAAAATTGACTAAGCCGACTCGAATCGATTCGAATGATTCGATTGGGCTGGATTGATTCGATCGATTTGATTCGAAGCAAGATTCCATTCGATAGATGGATTTGTCATTCTTCCATTCGACCGAATCGAGAGTGCGTCCATACGTTCACGGGCTATGTTTTGATTTCGCTTGACTTTCCGACCGTGGCGTTGGTTTCCGTCAAATTCTTTCGCTCATCGCAACCACATCTTCGTTGAGGTTTCAATCAAAACGATTGAATTCACTCATCGAAACCACAGCTTCGTTCAGGTCTCATAAAATCTGACAGCTTCGTTCAGGTCTCATAAATCTGCTCCTCGCTCGAACAAAGGGGCTTCTGCCAGCTAGCAGCGATTTCTCATAAATTCTGCTCCTCGGTGGGTCTCAACAAAGGCGCTTTTGGATCCAAAGCAATGCCCCCCCGCAAAACTCTTCAAACTACTGGTGGTGGGGTTGCTCCTGGCCGAGGTCGTGGTGGCCGTGGTGGTCGTGGTGGCCGTGGTGGCCGTGGTGGCCGTGGTGGCAGATCTATTGGCCGCAGTGGTGGTGGCAGCGGAAACAACAATCATGTGCAGAGACTGAGGGTACCAACTCCTGATCCCATGTGGATGGCCTTCTGGGAATATCATAATACATGGGAGCGCTATCATGGTCCAGTTGAAAGGCCCAGTTATGCCAATCTGTTGCTCCGCACCATGAGTTTGCCAGCTCTCATTTCTGGCTTCACTGATGAAGATGCAATGCTACCAATGAGCCATGCGCACATCCAACAACTTCACAGCAGACTCCTGGACAAAGATGATTGGAACTGGAAGATGCCCAAAGTCCTCTTGAATCGAATAACGGATTCAGAGAGCAGATTGGTTGGAGCCATGTTTGGTACTACCAAGAGCGGCTGGAATGCATTGATAGAAAAGCATCTAAAGAATGAATCCTTTGTTCTAGTGCACCAAAACAAGTCTGTCAGGGTTGTTTCGGCTGATCAATGGGGAGAAGACTTTGGAATCGGACACAACATTGGCCGGGTCGTTTGGGTTCTAAATAAAAAACTCAACAAGCCACAGGCTGTTCAGAAAACTGTCAAGATAATTAGGACAAGGGCAAAATCTCAGAAGGCTGCCCGCCGTCTCATTGATGAGTTGGTTGCGGAGCACCGGGAGGCGATTGGCTTGGACATACTGCGTAGGCTTGGCTTTTCCCTTGATGGTGATGGCTGGTTCAAGGATGCAGAAAAAGGATTGACGGCACTTCTGAAAGCTGCAGCTCATCTTGCGAACAGGCAGAAAGACTACAAGACCCCTCGTCATGGATTCAACAGCCTTGTCGAATGGTACAACAAAATCCCCGTCAGTAACCAGTACCGACTTAAAACCTTTTCCTTCATCCAAGATCTTGTGATGCCGGAGACCACAGCGGAAGCTCAGGTTCGCCAGAATGAGGAGCAAGCAGCTGCGAGGAAGGCAGAGAGGACCAGGAAGAGAGCAGCAAAGGAGGCGGCAGCAAAGGCAAAACAGGTCGCACAGGCAGCGCAACCTGGAAAACGCAAGCGTGCTGATCATGACAACATGTCTGAGTCAGAAGAAGAGGAGTTCGATTTGGCTGCAATCAATGACTCTGATGGTGAAGATGCCACAGCCAATGCAGCAACCACAACCACCACGGTACGAGCCACTGTTGTCACTCCTGCAGCCGGGTCCATGGCAAAGTCCGCAACGGCCACAGCTCCAGCCGCAGCTCCAGCCGCAGCTCCAGCCGCAGCTCCAGCCGCAGCTCCAGCCGCAGCTCCAGCCGCAGCTCCAGCCGCAGCTCCAGCCGCAGCTCCAGCCGCAGCTCCAGCCGCAGCTCCAGCCACAGCTCCAGCCACAGCTCCAGCCACAGCTCCAGCCACAGCTCCAGCCACCACCGCTGTGGCAGCTCCAGCCACCACTGGTACGGCCGCCGCTGCGAGAGTCACCCCAGGCAAACCACAACCAAAGACCCATGTGGACTTTGCCAACATCGATATTGTTGATCTCACTGCAACGGAAGAGCAGATTAGTGCTACAGCCAAAAAACATGCAGATGCCATCTGCAAACGACCCCCCTTTGCAGGACCCAATCCCAAAGCTCCGGGTTCTACAAGATATGTCAAACCTGCTGACGATGCTTGGATTGCTGCCCACACATACAAATTTCAATTGGCTCAGCAACTGGCAACCGAGTTGGCTGTGAAATATGGCATCCAAGCAGGTGTCAAAAAGATGAAAGTGAATTTGAGGGGTGAGCGTGCTGAAGCAGGTGCCCGGAAGCTTGGGTTTCTCCCTAAACGGGCACAACCAGGGGCGGCGCCTTTGAAAATCGAACATATCAACAACAGCGTCAGCGTGTGGTTGCATGAGTTGCAGCAATCTTCCTTTGTGCCAACCATGGCCTTCTTAGAGTCGGTGCTAGGACCAAACTGTGTGGGAGTAGAGCCGCTGGAACAGAACTGCAAAAAGGCACTCTCTGCTGTCAAATACCGTGGATATGACAGTGATGCCAAGAAGGTCCTTCATGTCATTATCGAGGAAGTGACAGAGCAGGTTTAAGAGGCATAGAGAGCTAGCTAGGACAGTCCATGGCAATAGCAAACACTAGCTAGTTTACGTAAAACAAAGTATGACTACTATTTACTCATCATCTAGACTAATCCCTGCAAGAAGATCAAAGAGTGGCTCACCGTGCTCCAGTCGGTATTGGCAAACCACAGAGGAGGCCTCAAAGCACACCCCAAACTTCTCCATTCCGTGGCGGAATTGGTGAAACAGGCAGCCAAACTCTTTCAGCATCCCATTGAATTGTTCATGGCGCATCTGGACTCTACTCTTGAACGACTTGACTGCTGGACAATCAAAAGCGTTGTAGGTACCGCATTCATTAGGGTGTCCATTGTAGATCTTGTCACCCAAGGCTTGCTTTCCAATGGCATTGAGCACATTCTTCAGTCCACCCTGGACAAAGTTCCCATTGTCATTGGATCCAGCACGGAAAGGACCATTCATCCAAATCAGCCTGCTCTCAAAGAGGTCAATGCCCAATTCGTAGCACAGCCCAGCATGCTTCTTCTTGTGGGAAAAGTATTCACGATCTTGGGAGAACAAAGGATGGATTGGTTCATCAATAATGCAGTGAGTTCCATCCACGCTCATGATCCAAACATCGTCATCAGGGTATTGAACTGGGAAGACAATTTTGTCAGCCTTCAGTGCTCTAATCTTCTCAAGGTAGTACCAAGTCCACTTCCTGATTGTCTTCTTTGACCTATCATACCGTGCTTCTCTCTCAGATTCAGTGTGGTAGCGGTAGAGGAAATGAAGAGACTCCAGCAAACGTGTAATGGAGAGCATTTTGGGGTTGTCGATGCGTGCCTCAGCCACAGTAGTGGTTTGAAGATCCTCCCAAATATTTGCCACAACTACTGGTTTGGCTCCATAGTGGTCTTTGAAGCGTTGGATGTTTGTATTGGATTTGTGGGGATCTCCTTTAACTCTATTGATTCTACTGTCAGTGTACATCAATTTTAGTCCATGAAGGAGGATTTGATCAGCCAAATCATTGGTGTCATTCATTCCAATGCAGCAGCTAGCTTGGGATCGGGGATAATGAGCCAACAATTTCGGGCGTTTTGCTTTGGGATCGAGGAAGCAAGCAAGCAGGACTGCAGTCTCAGTCCCGATCGCCAGCTCCAGGAACTGGTTTCGCCCAAACCTTTCACGAGTGAGAGCCCGGAACGTCCGAAACCGGCATTATTTCTTCCACGAGCTGCAGGCTGAATGATTGAAGATTCGATCGCTAAAACAGAGCCACGTGGGAAGAACAATATCGATCACTGGCTTCCCTCACGAGCCAGTGTTCTTGGAGCACTGGCTTGAAAGCCAGTTGGAAGCCAGTGTTCTTGGGATGGAAGCCAGTGTTCCGAAGCCAGTGATCCCCTGTGATCTTCAAGGAACTGAAGTGTTGGCACTTGCGCAAGCCTAGCCCCAGAATAGCCAGCCAACCATGAAACAAAAAAGAACAAAAATGCTACTTTCGCGATTTTTCTTTTTCTTTCTCTATTATGACCTTCCGAAGCCTTTTTACCTCGAGGTGCAGGTATGCACTGGTACCAGTAGCAGTGCGCGCGCAGGTCACGGCAGCCTGGCTGGTCGGTCTGTGTGCAGCGAGAGCTGCGTGCAGCGAGCTGGCTGCGGCAGCGCTGTATTATTAGTTTAGCTTGCTGTATCTTTACCGTAAACTGTGATGAGGATGGCTGAGCTGTGGTACCACTAACGGCATCAGTACATTATTAGCAGTACTCGATACATCAACTCTTGCTACATGCAACTCCTGAAGAGTACTGTCTAGTGCTTCTAGCTAGCTAGAACTACGGTACTGATAGAGGCAAGCCGCACGAAATACAGAGACAGGCAAGGAACCGACTGATAGCAAATAAAGGAGCTCGGCTTTAGGCTCTCAAAAAGCCTGCCTCGGGAGGGCAGAATAGGAAAATGAAAGAGGAGAGCGGAGGAGATCCTAGCTATACCGGAGTAGACAACAAACCCTTCTGGCTTATCGGAAACAAAAGTATTTCAGGAGCTCTGTTTTCCTCTTGGGTAGCCTCCTATGAGTCCTCTCAGCCAGCCAGCCAACCAACCATCATCAGCCTCCCTACTTCTAGAGCTCTATCAAGCACCTCGCGAGGCAATGCGTTAATCCACTAGACTAGTCTAGCTTCTTTACACTGCAGTTACCTGGGATAGCTCTGATTGTTGGATCCGTAGCATGATGTATTGACGTATCATGGTAATGAATAATGAAGCAAGTGCTGATGAGACGCGGCTCCATCCTTTATTTATCTCATGAAAATAGGCATGGACATCTAGAAGACTCTACATGCAGCATGTAGCTAGCTCAAACATACACATGTCCGCCAATCAAATCAACAAATCAATGTCAACCCACAATTCTGCGAGGTGTGAAGAAGTCTTTGCTGTACCACAGTGGTCAAAGTTTAGAGCAAAAAGATTGACACGTGAGTCCCTTTGGAGAAGGGCAACAATCAATAAGATTGAAACTCTGAAAGCGTCTTTTATTAATTAAATAGAGAAAGAGCCAGTCAAGACTGAACATCAGCCTTTAATTCCAAAGGGTCTAGAAAAAATGATCCAATCAGGCGTTCTAGTAGAGGAAAGGAGATGCATTCGGTCCTAAAAGATTTAAATTGACCGTATTGGGAGCTTTCATGCATCTCACTATTTCGCTCAGGAAATGTTCCTAGAATTTTCAGTGAAAGGGGTACATTTCACCCACTTTTGAATAGTATGCCATACAGATCATGGCTGCCGTCCCAAGCGATTCACCGGCTGTTTGGTTCCAGGTTCTAGATTGTATTGTTCGAGGGCGAGATCGAAGACGTTTTGGACAGGACCAGGTAGCCGGCTGACAATGTTACCAGTACACGAGGGCAATGAAAAGCATTTGATTCTCTTGTGAAATATACCGTAAAGTATTATCAGAAAGGTTTGCCAGGTTGCAGCAGCGAAGATGTTATCGAGTGGAGTATCTGAGGTGCCAGGAGCCCCCACCAATGCCGTACGATGTACCACATTGACGATTGCTTTTATTTACAGCAGAGAATGAAGTAAGAAATCTTACTTTAGTTAGAATACTAATACTGGTACCTTTGCAGTTGTACATAACTGGTCCTGCAGGTGTTGGTGCTGTCTCGGAGCCGGGTTTTTGTCAAGATTTCAGCATTATGGTATACCGTGGCTGAATACATTGTCTCAAAGTAGATTTTAAAACTGCACACTTTTACAGTTCTCTTTCTGTATTTCTAAAGAGACGCTGTCAGCTGTTTCTGGAGGTGGCTTCAGAACATCGCGAACCAATCTTATTACTCATTAGACATTAGACTACTCTCGCTGGAGGATTTTTTGACTGCCAGCACACAGGGCACACAGCATCAACGAGGAAACAAAGCTACTACTCAGTACTAGTACCTAGTAGAAAGGGCTCCAAACACGACCATCAAGCATAGCAACCAACTCCACACCAGGTGGCTGAAACCTTTGCAACACTGCGTGTGTTGCTGTTTCTCTCATCAGACACCAACTAGCTAGCTAGTAATGCTGGCAGCAACCACACTTAGACTTTTCGGCAGTAAGAGCACTTGACAAGATGACAATGAGGACTTCACATCGAGAGTATGATCCTCGAACAAACCGAGGACTGGTAAGCAGTCTGACGAAGAGTTGGAAGGATGAGCAGAAGCAACTAAAGAGAGGCACCAGTACCAAAGAGCCGAACAGCAGCAAGGGGAAACACAAGAGCTACAGTGGTGAATTCACAGCACCTCCCTCCTCAGAGGAATTCAAGGCTTTGCCCGAAGACAATGGCAGTGCCCTGCGGAACACTCCCAACCATCACCCCAGTGATCATCATGTCAGCACAAGCAAAATTGTTTTGACGCGCAACATGCGAATGCAGGCCATCAATTCAGCAGTTAGGAAAGTGGCCTCTGAGGCAACTGACTCGCAGCCACAACTACAGCAACGAAAGAGCACCAAGAAAAGGGGAATGGTTCGCAGCGTGAAGAACAGCGTTCGAAGCATGTTCCACAAATCCGGTGAAGATGAGGGAGGGGAAGTAGCGGGAGACGGGACTGATCGGAATCTACAAGCTTCCAGTGATTATTTTGGGGACGATTCGTCCCGGCGAGGGAGGTCTCGGTTCACACTAGAACAAGAAGCCGAACCAACCGAAGCAGTACATGGAGACACTCCCATCTCCAGTCGGCGTCGAACTTCGCGCATACGAAGCAAGAGCGAAGGGGTTGTGGGACGAAAACGAAGGAGAAGTACTGAACAACGGCAACGACGGGGAGCCAGGGTTTCTACTTCACCCACGAGAGGATCCAGTATGCGGATCTCTACCGGAAGCGACAATCATCATCGCCTATCTACCATCACGAAGACGAATAGGTCCGCACGAATTGCCGTTGGCAATGACAAATTGAACAAGTCAGACCAATTCGATGTGCCAGACCACTTGACCTCTGTGCTGGCAAATGCACATGCCGCAAAGGAGATTGTGTCAGTGGCAAAGCGTGAAACTATGATGGTTCAGCAGCACTCAGAATCACGGTTAGCCCACACAGATCGTAGTCGGTCTACTCATAGCAGCAGCCAGCGATCTCCGTCACACCATGTGCGCAACCTTGACCTATCAGCCAGTTCACTGAACGACTTCCCGGGAGTTGCTGGTTTACCGCTATCAAGACAAGATGAATCGATGCACAACAGGTCCACCAGTCTCAAGGATGTCATGAATGCGAGCAAATCCAACCTCGACAAAGTTGTGAGATACTCTACCGGTAGCATTCCAAATGGTTTGAATTACGAGGAACAGTTCAACAGTTCAGCCAATTCCTTTCCGCAATCATCACCGACCAAAGCGCGCTCGTCTCGAGTCATTGACAAGCGCAGTCGGCACAGCAAGAGTCGACACAGCAGTAGCACTAGAAAGAGAAACAGTTTTCGCGACCGCGATGATGAAATGGATGTTAGTTTCACATTTTCTGGAGACTCCGATGTGGAAAATGGTTCTAACAACAAAGACAACAAGATGTCATCATCGTTTCGAAACTCCGTTGAGAAGGACGGTAAATCCAGCGGTGCTGCTGATCGACTTTCCCATAGCCAGAGCCGATCAGGGAGTTCCAAAATGCGCAATTCCAGCTCTCGTCAGTATCAAAGAGATGAAGTCGAAATGGATCAGTCGTACAAAAGATCATCAAGGAGGCACGAACGCAGCAAAATGAGTGCCAGCGACCGGACACACGTCCGAACGTCAAGATTGGTTGAGGAAGTCACTCACAAGAGTATGCCCTCTGCATCAGCCAAGGAGCATAAGACAAAGACTCGAAATGGGAGTTATGGGGCGCTCTTGACAGAACAACAACCGAGGCATGTTAAGAGTGTTCATGCTCGATCATCTAGCAAGGTAGAGCCCGTACCTGAAGGGGACGATCGAGATCACAGCAAAAGATCAAAATCCATGTCTCGCAAAGGGTCTAAACGACATGTCAAATCACACGAGAAGGGAGTAACAAAGGACACAGAGGCCAAGAAACGGTCTTCATCGCTGGGAAGGCGCAAGCACAAGTCATCACGTCAACCAAAGTCAAGCAATCAAGAAGAGAGGCAACGACGAAAGGCAAAGGATGATCAGTCAGAGAGTGAAAGTGTCCAGTGGTCTCGTGTTACCAAGGCATTGCAAGTGAAAAAAGAATTGGAGAAAAGGCTTAATCCAAACCACAACAACAATGCTGCTGCCTTGCCTGAGTTGGTTCCCATGGCAAAGGGACTCCTGGAAAAGCAGTCCTCGGGAGAAGATAGCAACCCTGAAGCTTCAACAAAGCTTGAAGACTGCTCGGAATTGGCAAATGAGATGCAAAAGCAGTTGAACCCAACCAAGCAACTGAATGCTGCTTTGCCAGTTGATCACGGAATGCACATTGTGAAGGGACTCTTGGCTCGTGCGACCTCTGAGCCAGCAGCACCATCAAATACGTCGGGAGAACCACGCTCCTACCACCCTCGCTCCTCGGAGCCTGTGGGAAAAGAGGAGGAACTACTGGCAAAATCCTACCACGGAGAATCTCCTGGGCAGCGGTCCAGTTCTCTTCCTCCTAAACCAGCCGATGTCAAGGGTCGATCATCTTCAACGAAAAAGAAAACGAGAAAGTCATCAACTAGAGACAGGAGCAGCAAGACTTCCGATCAGAAGGACCTCAAAGGCGCAAAGGAAGAATCGAGAGGCAGGAGGAAGAAACAGGACTCCCAACGTTCTTCCAGCGTTACAAAGCGTTCTTGCAGTGTATCTCAGCGCAGTAGGCAACACACCAGTCAATACAAGCGATCTTCCACGGATGAGAGCAGACTATCTTCCACTACAGACGAGAGTCGGCGCAGCCGACACAGCTCAAGTCAACACAAGAGATCATCCACGGATGAGAGTAAGCCGTACTCGCGATCATCCACAGACGAGAGTCAGCGCAGTCGAAAGTCAGGCAGGAATGCTTCCCTGACAAGTGTAGACGACTTGGGATTCATCTCAAACCATGAGCCTGTCAACGATTGCAAGAAGAAGAATGTTAGGAGATATGGCTTTCAAGAAGATGCCATGGCGTCGTTTACAGAGTCGCAGTCATGGTATGAATTTGGTTGAGCTATAGGGATCAATCGCTAAGAACAAGTTAATTCAACCACAGCTGTAGCTACCTCTGCATTGGCATGAACGTGCTGCCTCAGTAACTGGGTATTTATAGCACGTCGTGGTTCCTCGTTGCCTGCCAAATGTTCGGTTCAGTCAGCAGCTACATGTACTTGGACCATCTTCAGTCCCAAGAGCTGGCTCAGCGAGTGTGTTTGCGTGCACGCTCGAATTCTTGTCTTCGTCTAGCAATTCCACAATTTGGATGATCTATTGTAACTGCTGTTGCCAGTAGTAAAACACTCCCGCCGTGATCATTACATTGAAGACATCATGATGTCTATGAACCAAATTGAGTACGAGAGACATGAGGCACACCAGTGGCCGAACGTGTATCATTGACATAGTCTCATCATCTTGCGAGGAGGAACCATAGTAGTAGTAGTACCGTCCTGCGAGGATCCACATGGCAGCAATACTGCTGGTAGTCATGAGCCATTGTTGCAATCGAAGCATGGTAGGGTTGTGTATTACATTTCTTCGCACGAGTGTTTGCAAGAAGAACTCCATGACGTAGCTGGTATTCAGTGCCAACCAATACACTCTCCAGGCAGGAGTTGCAGTCATCCTATTGTCATGATTGTATTCTTGCATTACTGCCGTTGATTGCTGCAATGCCATCGAGATGTTGAGTCCGTGTAACAGAACATGTTTGTAAAACATGTACTGAGACTTTTTGATTCGGTACAATATTGTTTCTTGAGGTGTTCGCTGATGTTGGGGAGTGAATTTCCAATTGTGACTGAATGAGTTTATGGGAAACAACTTTCGAAGATACCAGGGACTGGTGACCAACCACAGTGCCAAGAAGGGTTCCCATGCTTTGATGTTGGCGTTTGTAGATTGTGGAGATGACAAAAAGTGAAGATACCACGCCTGAAGTAAGTTCAAGCATTGATAAAAGGAGTGCTCCACCATTTCTCCCTGTGTGACGAGCGCCTTTTGCGACAGCGAACCGGATTGTCCCTTTGCATTTTGAACGTACTTGTGTGGAAAGTCACGTGCAGCCGTCAGGGTGGTTGTAATGCCCAGAATTCCCAAAATTGTGTCATAGATGAGACACTCTTGTTGTGGCGACCGAGCGTTGTTCCCGTACAAATGTAGCTGAAATGCTTGAAGCACACCAACGCACAACCACAGCAACAGGCACCCTCCTGCCGCTCGGTGTGACCATCCATGCGTCGACCAAAAGAGAAACTTGAAATTCCAAAGAGCAATTGGCACTACCACCGACAGAAAGCCAATCATGCCAAACAGGCTGGCAGATACAACAGCCGTAACCTCTGAAGAGAGAACATCGTGATGATGATGATGATGTTCCTGTCCCATTCTGGCAGTCCTTCAGCGCTTGTACGGTACTACCGGTTGCGGTTGCCTTGTTGCCTTACAGCGCAAAGGGGTGGAAAAAGCTTGCAGATCTGCGAAATTCTTCTGTGTCCCAAAGCACCTCTCAACGGCTCTGGAACCGGTACCATGGTACCGTGATTAGACAGCTGGCAGCACCCGGACAAATGGGCCTTGACTTCAGTCTTGTTCGTCTGCAGCCAGTATTTAAATCAGGTCCTACAAAGGACCAACTTTAGGACCAACTCCAAGCCCCATACCCTAGAAACAGAACCGGCAGCGCGGCTCTAATCTTGGACTTACACTCTCAAGAACAATTTCAAGGCAAGCACAACTCCAGGATCCTCTCCAGCCTGAACTAACTCCAGGATCCACTCCTGGTTTCGCACCCGACCAAACTCCAACTCAAGGCGCATACCTCCAACGGTATCACTCCTTTGGCGCACCTTCAGGATACTATCCGGAGAATAAAAACTCGACAGGCCTACAGTCCCCTACCGTACCAATGGCTTCATCACGGAATCGAAATTGGGGGACCACTTTTCTCTATCAGGAGATGAACAAATCCAATAAAAGAGGGGTTGCAGGCATACCTTAGAGTATAACGGAGGCCTGCAGAGCCTCATTTCTTGATTGTTGGTCACTTCCTGGACTGTAAAGTGGTCCCCCCCTTTGGCGATGAGGTGATCTGTGTCTTTTTCACCGGATTTGGAAAATGTGAGGCTGAAAATGTGAGGTTAGTTTTAAACTAGATGGCTGGCTCTCCAGTCACAGAAAGTCTTTGTTGATTCGCATTTAGTCATTGCATCCAAAGAAAATCGCATCCCACCATGGGCATCTATTTTCGTTCATGTGTACACGATCAGTCAACATGTTGTTGCCTTCCTCTCGTTCATCCTCTCCTCTCATTGACACGTAAGATTGACTTTTGACATTCCGAGTAACGTTCAATGGCGTCCGAATGGCATCCGAATGAAATTCCACAATGATGTGATGCCTCTTTATCAGATGGGATCGATATTTGGGAGCATGTGGAAGATGGCATGAACCAGTGAAAGAGGATGAACTGTTAACACCTCAACGGCAAAAGATCGCGGTCGATCAGTCGGTCAGTCGGAGGCATCTTCATTCTTCATTCTTCGGCATCTCATTATTTAGCAAACCTCTGCATCGAAACAGCAAAGCTCTGCAGGAATCTTCAATCGAAATGGTGGCTCTTCATTATCTTTCTTCCGGTCGATCGATCGACAATGGGGATCGGCCGTTCGGCCTTGGGATTGGGAATCTTCTTGCTTGCTACGGCGTCTCTGTTATCTTACAAGGTTCCTTCCGATCCACGCTGGCACACTCTCGAGTCCAGTCCTCTGTCGTTGACTGATCTACCTTCCGTCGTTATCTCGAGTCAAGTCGTCCATCGTGGAAGTCGGTAGCTTCAACCACCACCATGGCCAAGACCGGTCGCCGGAGCAGCATCAAGAGGCACAAAAAAGGAGGCAAGAAGCGATCCAAGAAGGAACAAGCTCGCCATGACCGAAGCACTGTCACTCCTCCGACTCCTGAGGAAGCAATAGCAAGGCGTGTCAAGCGTGCGAGTGACGTGGCTGAAGCTTTGGGGATGAGTCCAACCCGTCGTTCTCATCATGCTCGTCTTGCAGATCTTTCCTCGGATGAGGAGGAGCCCCTACGGTCCTTGGCGGATCGCCTCAAGCCTGACGAAGACTCAATGGAAGAAGACGACTCGGAGCCTGATCAACATGACGATGACATGGATTACATTCCGGATGAGCAAAAGGTCAAGGCTGCTTTGGCGCAGATATTGCCAGAGGAGAGGGCGAAGAAGATGGCTATTGCATATCTTTATGCTTACAAGTATGCATTCCACGAGGACACGAAAGACACTCCATGGATTGGCATCAAGGCACGCAAGTCAAGATCGCAGAGACTTGTACGAAGAAGCAACCGGACAAGTATGTTGAGTCTTCACGACTTGCATCATTGCTGCGAGCACACATTGTCTACACTGGCCAGCGGGTTCATGCTGGACTCAAGCCCGTCATCATCCCAACAACTCGTTTGATGCCGTCTTCATTGCCAACTGCATTGAACGGAAGAGCATGAGCGTGACAATGGCGATGCAACATCTGAATCGTCTTCGAATTGAAAGAGGCTTGGTCCCTTATTCCAGGTCTGCCGTCGATGGCTTGAAGAAACGACTCAAGCACAGGGTCGTGCCAATTCGCAAGCGGAAGCAAGGCAACAGGGATGTCAACTCCCCTTGGGCACTTCGTCGTCATGGTTGGGCTACACAACTGTTACTTCGCATGGGACATGATGTTGAGGTTCCTGACCGGCTTCGTGAAGCAGCGCTGACGGATCCTCCAGAGGAACTACCTCAGCGACAAGTTGTGTTGGGCTTAGAGGGCTGGATCAGTGACGAATCGTCTGGTTCCTCTTACAGGCTGATTCTTCCAGCTCGATTTCCAGTCAACAGCCTCCGACTCCACCTCCTGATGAAGTCAGTGCGAACGACGAAGGCAGTGCGAGTTCCAGTTCGGAACAACAGCCTGACGATTCCTCTCGTGCGTCCGGTTCTGGCTATGAGTTTCCACTTCCGCCCTGCTTTGATATTGAGAAACTCAAAGCCGCAGGATGGGATTTTCAAGTCGATGATTGTGCCGTCTGGGATGAGATGCACCGCAAGTGCAAGATTGGGTCGGTTCATGCGCAGGCTGGTCGGAAAACTGTTGTCCAGTTTGCAAGAAACGACGAGGGGCAACCAGATCCCAACGGAAGTACAATCATGCTGTTCCTGCTACTGCTTGTAACGTCAAGTACGAGGATGAGTCCGCCTTGGACTTGGCTGTGCCATGGTCTCTTACCGCAACGCTGATGGTGTTGTCGAACGCAAGGAGGGATGGGTGTTGGATCCGTTTGATTACACTGGCAGGAACATCATCTCCTTGAAGAAATACCGCGAGTTGTCAAAATTGAGATTGTCGGATAAAGAAGATGCGGGATGGTCCAGCCAAGACGCAAGGTTGGTTGACTACGAACGGGAAGTGGGGAAACTCTACATGTCGGACATCCTCGTAAAAGGAATGATTCCTTACGTTGGAAAGGCAACGATTGAAAAGCTCAACGAACACGGCATCATCACTGTTCGTGACTTTCAGAAGCGGAAACCTTCGAGTGCGGGACATGACGGAAGATTACTCTATGGAGGACGAAGGTGGTGGTACCTTTGAGATCCGGTTTGTCTCAAGAAATCTCAAGACTCTCAAAGGTTGCGTGCCGCGTGTCGGAAGGCTTCGAATGTGGTCCCACACACAACTGACTACCGCAAGCGTGCAAATCCCTACAAGTCCCGCTATGGTGAGGATTGGCGAGACTTCATTCAACGATCCACTACTCTGAATTCCACGGGATGTGTCACAGAGGTCGTCAAGCACATGTACAAGGAATCCAAGCGCTTCTTTCGCAAGCACCGACCTAACTTTCACGGCTGGTATTTCTATCACGATGCGCTGTCCCAGATGACGTCAAAGAATGCTACGAGTGGATGGAGGAACACGGTTACCTTGCGCACTGGCTTCTTCCTGTTGGATTGAACCTCACCAGCAATCGTCTCGACAAATTCCCGTCAGGCAACAGTCCAGAGGCCAAACGCTTGGGATACGTCTCTCAACAAGGACGTGAATGATTCAGTGAATCGTCATATTATCATTACGAGCCATTTGGATGATGACGACCCAACCAAGTTCACCATCTCGACACCAAAGCGTGGCAGGAAGCGTACCATCGTATTCTCCAAGGCGCACCGCCAAGCGAACGCATCGTCCAGGACATGGACCGATTCGAAGACTCAATGATGGCGATTCACCTGGCTAAAGGCGCTGTCGTCCAAGGCCTTGGCGACCAGAAGGGTATTCGAGCGCAAGAGAATAAGGCGGCAATTGGTGAAGGACGGTACATTCGTGGAACGTCGCGGTGGTGCTCGCTACCGCAATGTTGTGGATGATATTCTGACGATGCAGTATCAGTGGTGGCATGACGATGCGATTCCGCATCTTGGTGGTGGTTATGCGGTTCTCCAGGAGGAGAGTGCGGAGGATGTGGCGGCTCGACTGGAGACGGGAAATCTCTTTGGCTTTGACCTTGACAGGGACGGCAACGTTATTGACTTGTTGGTTGATCAAGATGAGGTTCAGTTTGACGACAATGGGGACGAGATTGAAGATGCGAATTTCATTCCAGAGGAAGAGGATGGAAAGGTGAGTTTGTGCTGTTTGTACGGTACTGCTTTTATATGGTCTCATTTCTAACTCCCTTGGAACTGTTGCCATTTTTGGATTCCTAGCTTGCTGATGAGGTGTAGTAGTGAATGTTGCAAGGCATGCAACAGGAGGGGATGGTGGCTGTGTGTTTGTTGAGTGTGGTTGGTTGTCTTTATATTGAGTTTGTGGTGGTTTGTGGGAAGATCTTTCACGACGGAATGAAGATCTGTGGTCGCGATTTTCCCTCCCCGATCATCGGATCTTCGAGGAATTTGTGAGGAGGGATCCTGGGTTTCACGACGGCATCTTGCACCCGCGAGCGACTCGACTCAACTCTCAACTCGCTCACCAGTTGGTTAGTGTCTTACTGGTTCGATGGTGGACTGCTTGTGATGGAAAGCATCTCTTTACAGTGGTCAAAGAGGGCTTGAGCGATTGACGGGGATTTATTGTGTTGTTATCGTGGATTTTTTATTTCTTCTGTGACTGACTGTGACTTAAAGAAACGGCTTGCCTTTTTCAATCCCAATTGGGAAAAAATGTCTCGGATTCGCCAAGAAATGTCTCGGACGCGAGGCGAGCCTCACTTTTTGCCCAAAAAGTACATTAACATGATAGACAACTCAACTCAAAGTGGCCACTTGGCGATGCTGTAATCGGCATTTCTAGTTGGTGAACCTTCAAATCGAGCTACTGTAGTGTGGTCCTGACAGTCAAAGGAAGCCATCCCGGCAAAGAAAGAACAACATTTTTTTTTGGATGACACCACTTAACCATAGGTACGGTACGCTACGATAGCTAGTATAGGCAGAATGCCAACAAAGTGAAGAGTTCAGCATTGCTGTGTGGTGGCGGTATCGTACGTGCGGTAATGGCCGTCCCGCACCGGAAGGCACCCGGTGACGTCATAAAGTCGTGTTTTCTTGAAAGTCGCGAAAAACGCGAAAAGTCGCTCTTTTTCGCGACTTTAAAAGTCGCGAACGACTTTACCACGACTTTACCGCGACTATTACCGCGTTTTTCGCGACTTCCGCGACTTTGCCGCGACTTTACTAACAAAATCGTTACATTTGACCACGACTTTACCGCGACTTTTACGGCGACTTTTAAAGTCGCGCACGACTTTACCGCGACTTTATCGCGACTTTAATAGCGACTTTAATGTGCCTTAGCGACTTTACAACGACTTTTGCTATGAAAACGCGACTAACTGTCGCCAGCCGGTTGCCTTCCAGATCTCGGTATGCAGCTCGCGCTGGCTTAGATGCCAACCCGGCAAGGCCGAGATCTCCCAACGGCCGACATCATCACAATGACAACAAACAACCAGCGCCGAGGACCCACCCAGCATTGCTCATTCTGTCACTAATATACAGTACTCAGCAGGCAGCAACACTTGCTAGCCAGCTTGACAATGCCGTTCCACAAGGAATACGCCGATGGCACCCCGCGTCCTTTGCTACGAGGTTGGCTGCACGGAATCTCCACCTGCGTGGCAATTCCTTTACTGTGCAATTATTGGTCGATTCTTCCACTGCCTGCCATTCCAGGACTGTTGGCAATTTGTTTTACATTATCCATGTCTAGTTTGGTACACTTAGTACCATGGAAATCTACCGTGTTGCTGGAAGTCCTTACGCGACTGGACAAATCGGGCATTCTGGCCATTTGTGCGGGATCTTTTTTCGGGGGACCACAGCTCTTGGAGAATATTTCCTGCAAGCCTCCACTGGCCATGGCAATCGGGACAGTGGCCATTCCTCTGAGTTTATCTACTTTGGGTGTCGCTTGTGGAATGGGACCCATCATCTTTGTGGGCTGCGCCGTGGCGTTCTTCTCCACGACGGGCTGGTATATCCAGCATCCAGCATTACCAGACGACAATTATACATTTGTGATCCATTCCGCAGTTTGCATCGTTTTGTACGGCGTGGGGTTGTCGCTATATGTCAGTCAAATTGGAGGGCAAACAAAGTATTGGGGATATCATGAATGGATGCACTTGCTGGTCACTCTGTCTTTCATTGTGAATGCTAGAGGATTATTGCTGATGACGGAATACAACGACAAAATTTGCATGACAAGCAGCATTGCCAATGACGATCTCAACATGCAATCGGTTGAAAAGCCATGGTTTTCCTGGTGGGCTTTGGAGTAGCTTTCTAAAAAAAACAAGGCGAGAAGAAAGAAACACAAAGAAGGATTTCAACAGAGGGGTGTCCATATTTGCCATCCTTTTGGGCCAATACGCTACGCTACAATTTGGCCCCTGCTTTTTTATGTGGACTCAAAGCCCAAAATGGACAAAAAAGCGAAAGAAACAAAGAAGTCAAGACTTTGCTTCAACGGAAATCAAAACTAGCTTGGCACGAGAGAAGAGAACATTGCGACAAGCACGTCAGGATAGACGGATCCTTGCAGCTAGCTAGCTATGTGAGATTACTACAAAAATAATAGTGTGTTTCATTGGTTCAATACATGTAATGGTGCTGGAAAAACGTCGAAGGGGGGCAGCCAAAGGCCAACAATTTTTGAAGTGTGTAAAAAAGATCCAGACCACAAAAGAGATGAGATACTCTCCGTCCCAAGCCACCGTTCCCTTCAACTACTGTAGCATGCAGATGTGTTGCTGAACGAAGGAACAAACAAGGTTGGCTACCGTAGCTACATGTATTTGACAGCCTGCTTGTGAGAATGAGAAAGGAAGGGCGGTCGGGCCCAACGAATTTGCAGTTGGCTGCCCGCATCACCAAAGATTTTCATTTCATTTACTAGTACTACAAAGCGTGGTGCCAAAGGTCGATCTCAGTCACAAGAAACCCACGATTGAGGGGCATACATGTATTCGGGACCACGTCCGAAACACAACTGCCCAATTTATGCCTTGAACTGAAGCCATGATAAGGGTGACGCACTCAACGTCTTCTTCAGAGCTTCTTTTCACCCATTTTTGCTTAAAGGAAATGCCCGTTGGTCTTGGAAGTGACCACCAAACACCAAACACAAGTTTTCATTCTTTGCCACGTAAATGGCTGGCATTCCCGTGTTGCTGCCGGGCTTTGCAGGCTGGCTTGCTTTGTCTCAGACCTCTTGCGAGGGGCCGAAAAATTGGTTCATGGTGGCAATCTAATCGTTAAAACCGCAGCAGCAAAAGCCTCCTTCCATAGCAGAGAGAATCGAATCATCGTTGCTGTTGTTGCCATATTGCAAAGAACAGCAGATCACGAGTACCTGTTGCGATTGGAGTCTTTGCCAAGTCATTAGGCCGACATACCCTGAAGCCTTCCTACAGCTCTTGAGGAACTTACGACATACTCAGTATATTGAAGCCAAGTCAATTCCATCATCGGAACGCCTCCTTTCCCATTGTGTCGTGCTCAGAGACCCAAGCCAAGAGAATCATCGACGTTTGTGGATCCTCGCCTCAGCCTACCACTACCTATTGTTAACTAGCAGAGTGTGTCGCCACCATGGCTTACTTTCAACAACATGCCCCGTACCACCATCAGCAGCAGCAACAGCGTCACCCGATGATGCAAGGCAACGGCTATCCACAGCATCATAGCTCTCCGTATCATCAGCAGTCGTATGGTCATCCACCACCGGATCAGTATCACCACCATCAGCAGCAGCAGCATCATCAGCACCAGCATCAGTACAATCAGCACCATCAATATGGCGGTCATCATCATCATCAACAACAGCATCAGCAGCAGTACTATCCTCCCATGATGGAGACGGAAGAAGACCGTTTGGAGGCCGCTGCGGCGAACGAATTGTTGGATGCGGACAGTAAGCACGAAAATATGTTGTCCATTGACTTTTTGCCTTGTCCCAACACGGTCATTGTAGGGAGAGGCAGGAAGGTGGCCCAACATGCCGGGAATGTTCGTTTCCGAGAACTCGTCAAGAAGGAGTTGACCGAGTACAGTGCCGCCACCACCAAGGCACACAAATCCAGTATCATCCAGCGCGTCTTGACGGAAGTTAGACTCAGGTCGCATCATGCGTTTGTCAAGCAGAATTTGACGACGCAGCGCTGGTATCGTGTGGAGGAGAATGCGCAACGAATCACGACGGCACAAGCCTTTCGCGATGCTCTCAAGGACAATTACAAGAGCAGTCGTGCACACAAGAAATACAAGAGAGAGGAAGAAAAGAAAGAAGGCGGCGAAAAAGTCAAGGGCAAGAAGAAAGGCAAGGGCAAGAAGGAACAATCGGATGGGAAAGACAATAGTCCATCGAGTAGTCCCAAGCGCAAATCTACTACTAGCAGCAACATCAAGTCCAAGGTGGCCGCTCGTGGCAAGGCGTTGTCTCCGATTCCTCAAGAACCCATGCAAGACTCGCCGATGAAGGACGAGCCAGAAGCACCAAAGTCACATCAACCACTGAGCTGCAGTGACAAGAAGAAACCCACCATGCCCATGGCGTTGGACGATGGGGAAAAGAAGGACGCCAAGAAGAAACCACCGAAAGACAGCCAAGCCGCCATGGATAAAATGCGCGCCATGCTCGAAGCGCAACAAAGCGACTTGACGGCCGGGAATTTCACCTGGTGGAAACCAGAAGCCGTTCAGGCCGTTGCACAACCGCAAGTAGTGAAGATGATGCCGCCGCCCGCCAGCAAGAAGAGCAGTCGTGGCAGTGGTGGCGACGATGCCATCCCCTCAGCGTCAGTGGCTTCTTGTTCGTCTCTACTCTGGAGCAACCATAGCAAGTTTAGTGAACGAGGCTCTCGTCCTCGAAAGGAACGGGAGTTCAATTTCAACATGAGCGGTCACAGCATCAAGAACCTTAGCAACCACTCCATCATGACTATTAGTGGTCACAGCACACGAAGCAACTCAACCTTTAATGGTCTCATGGCCAAAATTGCTCCAGCGGGCGATGCAAGCAATCCCTTTGAACCAAGACCTATTGCAGCAGCGGTACAAGAACACGAAGATGGTGTTGCCATGGACATTGAAATGGACGATGTCTTTACCAGCACGGCTGACATGGAAGCCAGCAGCAATTCGCATTTCCGTACTCAGCCGTACACCGCCAAGTCGTCCACCACATTTGACGAGGGTATAGCCATGGGATTGGGCAATTTGTCCGATCACTCCTTGATGAGCAATATGTCGTCGATCCACAGTGTCAAGGGATTCACCCCCGAAGAAATATTTGTGGAATCCAATCATACGGCAAAAGACCGCAGCAATCATCGGGGTTATCATGGTGGATCTAGATATCGAGGCGGGTACGGGGTCGCCATGTCCTAAATGGCCGGCTCGTTAGAATTTTGGAAAGACAGGTGACGGGTTGATATCTATCCCTGCTTGTTGGATTGGCTATCATGCAACGTACATTTACATTTATTGTTTTGGATGCTTATTAGGAAGTCTTTTGCACACTGATAAAATAAAGAGGAACAGTGGTAGACAACTGACTAGCTAGTGCGACTCTTCGAAATGACGAGGTGGATTCCGCTGGCCAGCATTCTAGTGACCCGAGAGCGAAGACTAGCTAGCTGTTAACTTGTTCCGAGTCGAGTCGATCGGAGCCCAGGCCGGGGTTCTGTCTAATAACTGTCTCTGGCTAGAGTTGATGATCGCGAAGACGATCTCGGGTTGCATTATTCAAATTTCTGCTCGTTATCGCCATGGCTGTAATAGACTAAAAATGAAGAATGATGAATCGTTTAGCAGAAAATTAAAAAGCTCATCAGGGCATTCGGCTCGGCAACACTTCGACTGTTCGGCGAACGTCGCTTTGGCGTATCCAATACGCCAAAATCAGCTCTTGGGACCGTCGTGCTGCCAAAAACCCCATGAGGCCTCGTCCTCCTCTAATTTCTCCTCCTTTGGGTGTTGGTTTACGTGCTGCTTGAGCTCTTTCCGTAATGGGGCAGCAGCGCCGCTACTCTGCACCATTACAGAAGGCCGAGGCGGTCCGTGCGTATGGTGGTACCAACGCTTCAACTCGTCAACTCGCACACTCCTCTCTCCATCCAACTTCTTCGTACTTTCTCCGTTTACGACTTTCGAATTCTGCTTAATATCCACGAATTCCCCGCCTACCAGCCTCATGCTCCTTTCCATTTTGTTCTCATCTTTGCTGGATCCCGATGAGTCCAGCGAATCTGCCTCGACGCCATGTTGTCGGGCAGGACGGTGCTTCTTCCAGTCTCTGCGATTCTGATTCGACCCACGTCCAAGGAGATTCTTATCATGCTGCGAGGAAGTATGCTGATCGCCAAGTGACTCTGACAGGGCACTTCCGCCATCGTGGTGACCATGCGGATGCTTGCGAAAAGGCCTTCGTTGGTGTCGGAGAGCCTCCGATTCAGGTTCTGCTGCATCATCGTCATTCCAAAAGTTGCCGAATTCATGAGCAGACTGACCAAGACCCGTGGAACGCGAAGGGCGGGGTGAAAGGGAAGCCTTTCTGCGAGTTTCCAAGCTTGCAGTACGACGAACCCTACGGTTGGTTTGTCTCGGGCTTGTAGTGGTCTGCGATCCATGATGACGTCTTCGGCCTTCACGCTTGGAGCCATGATTGCTCTTGCTGCCCGCTGCTCCACCAAGGTCAGTATGGGAACTACCATGACTGCTTCGTGTTTTGTGCGGCTTGCCACCATTATCGTGCCTCGAATTCCTGGTAGCAGTGGAAGCATGGTGACGCCCCGAGCTGGTGACGTCGGTGGAATCAAGGTGATGACGGCCCGAACTGTTGTGGCCAATGGAACCACGGGAACGACGCGTACTTCGTAGTTGCTGTTCACCGTGGTTGCTGCCACTCGTATCCATGACATCGGCGTTAGCATCGGCATCAGCAGTACCGGTACTAGGATCGGAAGCACTTTGTGTCCTTCGGGTTCCTGACCCTTTTTTAGCATGCAAAAGATTGCTGTTGCTGTGGTCCATTCCATGATTTCGAGATGAGGCTGATATTTGCTCATCTTGATGTTCACTATTGCCACTTGTATCCATGACATCGGCCTCAACACCAACGCTACTAGGATCGGCTGCACTTTGGGTCCTGCCGACACGATGGCCTAACCTCTTTTTGCCGTGTCGAAGATTGCTGCTACTGCTGTGGTCCAATCCGTGACTGAGAGATGCGTGTGATCGTCGCGCTTCCCGTCGTTTCGTGCCGCTCCTATTCGCGTCCTTTCGACCACCAAGACTGCTTCTGGAATCTGACACTATGCTCAGATTTCCATCTCTTTCGCTGCGTTTACGCGAGTTTCTGCTGCTGTCGTTCATTCCATGCGAGTGGTACGATGCCGCACCCAATTTCCGTCCTTCTCGTTTATGACGGCGCTGCCTGCTGTTGCTCTTGTCCACATCATCTAGATTGAGCTCTCTCCTGTTTGTGTCAGGCATACTGTTGGTTCTGCGAACAATTTTTTTGCCCTCCTTGGTGGCGCCGTTCGTTTCCTCTGCGTAATCCATCGCATGACTGGAGGAAGCTGAAAGCCTTTGTGCAAGGCTCGTCTTCCGAGGACCATTTCCCAAGGGCTTTTCAAACTTTGGGTCTGCTTTGGGACTGTCTCTGTGATCATCCTTTGAATCTCCGTCCATTCCTGGGACGCTATCAGGAACACTCTGAGTTCTGCGAATTGGCGACTTGCCGGTGGCTTTTCTTCCTTTGCGGTGGTTCCTATTACTGCCTTCCATTCCTTTGTCCATTCCTTTGCCCAAATTGCTTTCTTCTCGCTTTTTGGGTGGATTGTTCTCAATTCTAAAATCTTCATCCTCGTCGTCTTCCAGTAGCAATAAATCTCCGAAACCTCCTCCACCAATCAACGAAGACAGACTATTGGTCCTTCGTATCAGCCTTGATTGCCTCCTTTTTCTCTGTGCGTGGACGTTTAGCATGGAATCACTGTTGTCCATACCAGGCACTTCTTTGTCATCTTCATGATGCTTTCTCCTATTACCAAATTTGCGTCCCTCTCTCTTTTTGTGATTGTTTTGGTAATGACTACTAGAAGCTCCTTCCGTGGATGCTTCGGTTCCTTGATGGCTTTCTGTATCGACACTGAACGCCATGTCTCTTGCAGAGCTGGAGAGCTTTTGAAAGATACTCTTTTTCTTTTTGGGGGCTTCATAGGTTCCTGTGCTTCGGGCTTTTCGTGGGAATTTTTCACTCGTTTTCTCTTTGCCTTGTTCCTCTTGCTCCTCTTCCCCCGTCAACGGAGGCTCGCCGATTCCAACCTCGTCCAACATGCTAGAGAGATTTTGCAGAGACGCTTCTTCCGCGGGAGTGGGGGATCCTTCGACATCGGTTCCATTGTCGTCTTGCTGTTGTTGTCGCTGATGCACTTGCTTCTTCTTGTGTTTCTCTTTCTTCGCAAACACTGCCTTGATAAAAGATCCTCCAGTTATACTAGGACGAACATGGGGGGATTCACCAGCCACTGCAGATGCCGCATCGCCTTTGGCCGGTTTGGGTGAAGTTGCTACGAGTGCAGAAAGAGATGCGGCTCGAGACAGGAGACTGCCTCTCCGTGCCTTCATAGCTACTGTTCTTTCTTTTTAAGATTTGAGCCTCTATTTTGTTTGGTCTTGTGATGAGGAGCTCGATACCGGTACGATTGAGTTCTTTAGAAGTGCGCCGTACTAGCTTGCTAGCAGCCATGCCAAAACGATGTTGTGATGATGGTTGTCTGCATACAAGTTTGTGGGAACCGTGACAAAGGTGATGAGCAGCGAGGAGCGAGCGGGAGTCGGGAGTCAGAATTGTTCAACAAAATGCAAAGCAGACTTTTCCTCGAAGTTTTCCTCGACGCGTCAAACGTTTTTTATTAAACAGGTCATAGAGAGCATAAAAGGCCACTCCTCTTGATTTTGACAGTTAGTATTTATGAAATGAGTATGAGAAGTGTGAAATTGAATAAATTTCACGGAAAACTTGAAACTACACTAATGATATCGACTGTGTGGTTCTTCTATCGTGAATTTTCACAAATTCAAACCGGTGAAACTATTATAATGTCCTTTACCTCAGTTCGCGGACATTGAAGATCGACAGCTGCTTGGCTCTTCTCCATTCCTGTCACTCGTGTGTGCGCACACTCTAAGAATAAATTTTGGAGTTTTCCCCAAAAATACAGTTTTAAGTCACCCTTACTCATACATAAGTCTAAAACACCATTGTTTATGTAACTTGTGTAAAAACTTAGTGCCCGTGCCCCCCAAAAATCCATCACGCTTTTCTTTACTTTTGTACATTGTACCCGTGAGGTTCATCTCTACCGCTACCTCGAGACTCGAGACTGCTCCCAGATGCCGGTAGACTGATGAGTTCTGGCCAGCCAGATCTTGTGGCTTGGTGCGGAGGGGGCAGGGTGCTGGCCTTAGTGTTGGTTTGGGCTTTGTCTCAGTGTAGCAGCCAGGTACCAGCTCTTTGTGTTGGTCAGGATTGGGGCCGGGCATGAATACGGTACTAGCTAGGTCCCGTTGTGAGCTCGAAGGGTGATCCCGGCGCATGGCCAGGAGCGGGGTGGGAAGGGGCCTGGAGATGGTCCAGTTATACCGCTAGGCTGAGGCGGTAGCCCCTCTTTGGCTCAGGTGTTACTCTTGGAGAGTTAGCTTCTAGTAATCAAGGCCTACAGTTTCGTATCCTGGAGTGAGCACCTCTATAGCGACCATTCTCCACAACATCGTGCACTAATCAATTGGAGGTAGTTTTCAATGTGACCCAGAAGACAACAATGCTCTATCCGCTCTTGAAGCACCATCATTCTGTTTGCATTGAACTTCATTACCGTCATTCTGTTTGAATTGAACTTCTTTGTTTCAAAAAGATCATTTATTGGTTACATGAAGCTATGTAGCTTTGTGCGTCTCGTGTTGAGGGGTTTGGTGCTTTGTATCCATCCTTCAGTTCCCCTCGCGCTTTGCATGATCAAAAGAACTTTCTTCTTCTACTATCATCGTCCATCTTGACACTTGACGAGACGGATGTCTCCTCGCCACCGCTTGCTCCTCCGCGGATTAGACCCATAAGATTACCACCCGATCGGGTACGGGGGACCTTTGCGTTCTTGTTTCTGTCTCGCCGCCTTGACTTTGTCGGTGAGTCAGGTTGGGCGTCATACTCTCCGCCTCCGCCGCGCAACATGCCCATCAGATTGGTGCCCGAAGTGGTGCGGAACACACCTGTTGTTTCAGCTGCAACCTCTCCAAGTTCCGCAGTGGCTGTCGCTGCAACGTTCACGGTGGTTGTCGCTACATCTCCCAGCCCTGCTGCCGTTGCCCTAGCTGTATCCATGGCTGTACTGAACACGTAGGTGGTCCAGCCGTCCTTCTGCTCCTCTGGTTGTGGTTGTTGCACCTTGGGGTGCGCGGACTTGCGTCTGGTCTCAGACTTGTGTTCTTTGGGTTTTTCATACAGTTCTTCTTCGTCGATTTCATCGGCAGCGTTCGCATACGGACCCAGCGCCGGCATGTGATGTGCAGCCTGCTGCAATTGATTCTGAAGGACAGCATGGGGGTCCCTCTTACGACTGCCGTTTCGAGGAGACTTGCCGACGCTGCTAGCCTGGTTGGACGGACCACGCTTGGGAGATCTCGCTTTTGTCGGTGGACTAGAAGTGCCACTGCTTCTGTTGTTGGCTGATCGTTCACCCCTAGTACGGCGTGTATGGGTTCTGCTGCTGCCGTCCATTTTGGTATTTTGCTTTTCTTTTCGTCGCCGACGACGCTCCGTAATGCTTGTATTGGCCGAATGATCCATCGTCCTATGGTTGTCGTCGTCGTCTTCATCATCGTCTCCATTGGAACCATCTAGTGCAATCGATGCTGGGTTGCGAGGATCCGTCAAGGGTGTCACTGGTTCCGATGTGGCACGTGACAATCGAGGAGGATGTACCACTTTGCTACTATTCCTGCTCGAGGAAATGCCGAGGGTGTCTGGACCCTTGCGTCGACGGTCTTCGACGCTCCCAGCTCGACGACGTCGTTGCTTCGTCTGTTCGGTAGCCGACGAAGAAGTCCTCGCGGTGAAACTTTCGGAACGACGCATGCGCCTACCTTCTCGCTTGGCCGCACTTGTTCGGGCTCCTGCACTTTCTCTCTTCTTGGGAGCTTCGTCTAAAGCTCTCTCTGGCTTCTTGGGTGATTCATCTGAACTGGCCCGCTTGGGGCTTCCATCAGTGCTTTCTCGCTTGGTGGGACTGCCGCCCTTATTACTGCCCCGCTTGGGACTTGTAGCCGATTTCCGTCCCTTTCGACCACTGCTCGGCCTTCCAGCCTCTCTGGCAGATTTTCTTGGTTTGGGAGACAACTTTCTGTGGCTCGGAGCTTGTTCTGGTTCTTGTTGATCTCCCAGGCTTTTTGTCTTTCGCATTCTAGGTTTCTTGATCGTGGAGGAGGGCACAACATAGTTTCCTGTACTCAATGTCTGTCGGAGAGACTGGATAACGGCTTTTTGTTTTTCGTGTTTGTCAACAATGCTCTCTTCGGTGTCCCCAACAGATTGGCTCGTGCTAGCTTCTTCTTCGTCGTCGTCTTCACTGGTATCGTCCATCATATCCCCTGGGAAGCATTCTTGGATGTGAGGTGACCGAGTCGAACGAGACATCCTCAAACGTAACGTGCTTTCCAAAGCCGTCCGTGTCACCGTGGTTTCGCAAAATTCCGCCGGTACTGGCGCGTCCTTTGGGTTGATCCTCCTCTTCTTCTTGGTTGTCTTGATGTTTCTTGTACTTGCGCAGTGCTGCCGAGTATTCTTTGGATCCAGTACTGATTCTGGCTCTTGGTGGCGAATCGGCAGAGGATCCGACGGACTTGGACTTGCGGATCGTTGACTTGCTCTGCCGTTTGGGTGGGCTGGTATTATTACTGCCACGAGACGACGTGCGAGACGTCTTTTGTTTTGTGCCTGGTTTTTCCACTTTGTTAGTTTTGGTGAACAACGCAAGGAATGCGTCGTCTTGACTTTGGGTTGCACCAGCAAATGCCAAGACGGGGAGACGACTGCTTGGAGCTGAGGGAGCACTGACTTGTCTTGCCAGAGAGGTTGGTTTGGGGATTGCTTCACCTACACCTGATCCTCCTGCTGTTGCGGAAGCGCGCGAACAGGAAATGTCCAAGCCTCCCAAGAGATTCTTAATGTCACCAATCCCTGGCTCGTTCTTCTTGGCTTGATTATTCATCAGGTGGAGGTCCATTGTGGTAGGAGCTGAAATGACTTGATTGGTGACAGGAGCGATCATGACGGCATTCAACAAGGACGCTGTTGTGGATTCTCGTGGCTTGGGTGTGTTCTCGTCTTCCTCCTCCAACTTGGAAGAGACCGCCACGACGGTCGCAAACAGACTCTTTGCATCACTGGTATTAGAGCTGCTCTTCAAGCTATGTCCCCGTTGCTCCAGCTTTTGAGACAGCTCGGGAGACATTTCCAAGGGTGCCGACGGCGATCGCGGCGCAAACTCCGTTGCGGTGGGGGCGTTCATGGCTACCAACTGCATTATGTTTTGAGAAATAAATGAGAGCAACAATGAGAGCAATCAGTGGAACTTCACTCAATCAAGCAAGAAGGATCTTGCCAAGTAATAAGTTGCCGAAACCAACCGCGTGTGTGAGCTGCAAACTGCAACAAAAAAAAATGAGTGGGAGATGCACGAGGATCTTTGTGGCGGCTTGTGGCATGTGGCGAGTGGACCCCAGCTGGTGCCGGTACGGTTCTTGTGTACTTAGAGTATATAAAATATAGTACTTTCGTTTCTCCACCTGTACCACATGCACCGTAAACTAGGCAGCCGCTACCTGGTAGTGTCAGTGAGGTGGTGATATTGGCTACGGCAGTATCACGTAGAGTACCGTTCGGTGGTCAAAATTAAAATTTTCATAAAGATTGTTTCCCCTGGACAATCGATCGGAACCTAACACTTAAAACGTCCAAAACGTCATTCATAATGCCGTCAGCCATGCATACTATTAATAGTACATTCTTTGTCTTGAAGATCGAAAAAGGAAATTGACAAGGTGAAGGTAAAAGCCACTAACTTGTCTTGCTACTAATTGAAAATTACATACATGTTCCTTATTGTAAGAAAAGAGAAGTGAGCACTAATTGAATAAGAAAAGCTATTAAGGATCAAAAGGGCAGTCCGGATTTAGAAATAGTCTTTCTGGAAGCTGCAGGAACATTGCCAATTTGAGGTGAGGTGGAGAAGCAAGGTTCAGAAGGTCTGAAGGTTCCGTTTTTGTGAGCCATCAGAGCTGTATATATCTTCCTGGAAAGTACTGGTACGGTAGTGGTACTGGTACCGGTACCGGGTACCGGTATCTTTTGAGATCTTTCGTGAAAGCGAAGTCTGATCCTGGCTCCTTCCGAGCAGCACCTTTACTAACATCAAGCCAGGGAGCAGAGGAAGAGGAAGCACCACAACCTTCAGTCTTTTGGAGATCTATCTGGTTTTGTTGAGTAGCGTGTTGTAGTATCAATTTATGATAACATGACCACCAATCCTCAAGAGATCGCCGCACAGGCCTTTGTGGATGATTTCAACAAAGAGTATGAGGCCAAGCATCTGGCCTTTGAGAAACAGTTCTGGGGGAACAAAATGGCCCTCTCCAGCACGCCCGAAGATACCTATTCCAGTGACTTGTTGAGTTCGACCAAGGCAGAAATGGAGAATCTCTTGTCGGATCCTACCGTTCTTCAAAGGGCACAAGAGTTTCGCAACAATCTAATAATGGCAGAGAAGAAAGATACGCCCCCAGAGGACAATCTGATGAAAACCTTGGATATCATTATCAAAACTTGTAAATGCTACGATATGAGTTCCGCCCCCGAAGCTCGCAAACTTCGAGAAGACACTTCCAAATTGGAAAGTTCACTGGAGCTGGCGAGGAATCGATCCTTGACGTTGGGATACACTCTATTGGATGGAACCTTTCAGGAGACGTCTTCTGTGGGTCTTCGAAATGTCATGAAAACCCACCAAGAGGAAGCCGTGCGTAAATCGGCCTATGATGCTTTGCGTTCCATTGGACCATTTTGCTTGGGCCATGGCTTTGTCGAGATTATCAAATTGCGCAATCGGATGGCCAAGAGTCTGGGATTTCAGGATTATTATGACTACAAAGTCACAAATTCAGAAGGCTTTGGCAAAGACAAGCTCTTTCAGATATTGGACACGTTGGAACAAGGCACTCGGCCAATCATGGAAAAGGCACGAACTGAATTGGAACGGCGATTTGGAAAGGAAGCTCTGGAACCCTGGAACACTGGGTTTATGATATCGGTGCGTTCTCCCTTCATCCCTCTGTCCTGTCGAGGTAGTCGAATATCTCACCCTGGTAATTCCTCGTCTCTCTTTCTCAGGGAACCGCCCAGGCCAGAATGGATACATATTTCCCCTTTGGCAAGGCCGTGGAACGCTATGTGCGATCGTACGCAGCCATGGGCATCTCTTACGAAGGGTCTGTGATGAACTTGGATCTTTTGGAGCGCAAAAACAAGCACGACAATGGGTTTTGCCATTGGCCTGCGGTTGCTTGGGTAAAGCCAGATGGAAGCTTCCAGCCAGCCACAACCAACTTTACATCTTGTGCCGACCCAAAGGCCGTCGGAAGTGGCTTGGCAGCTCTCACCGTGTTGTGCCATGAAGCAGGTCATGCAGCGCACTTCGCCGTACGTAATTGACCGGGATGTGATACTGGTGCTGCATAGCTTGCTATGTGATGCGGCTCAACTTTGTTTTTGCTACTTGCTTCTTCTTGATACCACTTGGACGCGACAACAATCTATGCATACAATCAGAATGTGAAGCAACCCAGCCCGTTGTTCAGTCAAGAGAGAGCCCCTACAAGCGTTCCTTACGCGGAAAACCAAAGCATGTTCTTAGATTCACTGGTGGGAGATGCGGCTTGGAGGGCTGTCTACGCGAGAAATGACAAGAACGAGCCCATCCCGTTTGATTTGATCGAGGAGGAAGTGCGTTCCAACCACCCGTTTGCTGTGTTTCAACTGCGGGGAATGCTATCCGTGTCTTACTTTGAAAAGGCACTCTACGAGCTCCCGGAGGAGGAGGTGACAGCTGACAAGATCAAAGAACTAGCCGATGAAACGGAACTGAAGATCCAAGGCGGCTATTCCATTCGACCCATCTTGGCGGTACGTCAACAAAATGCGCTTGAGAGGCTTGTGCTGGAGAATCCTGCCACTTGCTGAAATCAAAATGTCTCACTTTTTTGTGTGGTCGATGCTTTGCAGTATCCTCATATAATATCAGACGAAGCATCATGCTATTATCACGGGTAAGTGACACATTGGAATGGGGTTAGGGTCGGTCAAGTAAGTGCTCACTGACAACTTCGATGCCTGGTTCTTGCTTGGCGGCACCAGGTACACCCTTGCGGAAATGAGCGTTCATCAGACCAGATGTTTCTTCAAGGAACGAGATGGCTTTATCGTTGATAACCCGAAGGTTGGACCAACCCTGACGGAAGCTTATTGGAGGTGTGGCAACTCGAGAGCGTTCCTTGAAATCGTGAAGGATCTAACAGGCAAGGAGCTCGCGGGAGAATCGTGGGTGGATGCCCTCAAAGAATCCGTGGACGACAAAGTCCAGCGGGAGCGAAGGGAATACGACGAAGCATTGGCAAAGGCAGAATCCCAGACGACAGTGGTCAATGATGATCTGAATGCCATTTTGAACATGACAATCCGTTTCGTAGACGGGGACACGCTCATTGCAGATTCGTCCAAGGTCGAAGGCGGTATTCTGGGTGCCTGCCAAGCTTTCGAAACATTTGTCGAAGCAAGGTAGCATGGTGTGTGTCTATGATAGCTGCCACCTGTGAGGGTGGCCCTTTTGGATCTGTAGCAGGTACACATGTACCGGTATCCTTGAAATAAGTCTTGGTATTGTTCTATCTTTGAGTGCAGTCCATGCTACCGGTATTGGGCGGGCAACACCAGCGCTCACCTCCCAACAAGACATGGGCAAGCCACCCGGGTAAATTGATGGGTATGGTGCCACTCTGTGACTGCCCAGCTATGTCATAGCTACCAGTGGTGACCGTATTGTCTTCGATTCATCATTCGTTTCATCGGGACATACTGGTAGGCAGTAGGCACAGGTTCCTCGTAGAGTACTGCTTGCTCCTTTGGGTCTTGATGAGGGCCCCTTCATGCATGCTTCGCATTACCCAAAAATTGCACAAAAGTATGCATAAAAGGATTGATTCGCACAAAAGTTGTACCGGTAGGGAGCGTCGCGCGTGAGTTGCAGGGAGGCATGTGCGGACTTCCTGGAACTAAACGTAAGTCGCATTTTAGAAAGTCGCCTCCGAGAGGAACCACTTCCAGCGGTCACAACGACTTTTTCCGACCCGGTGCCCTCGAACGGACGCACTTCTCGCTCTGTCCATCGTCAAAAATCCAACACAGCCACAATAACTTTCCAAAGAATAGTCTACTAGCTAGTACTGCTACAACGCCACCTGGTGGCCCAGCCAGACACCAACCAGCATCGGTCATACTAGTATTAGTACGGGACAAACAAAGCCGTTGTTGAAGTCGTCGCTACGAACCCCAGAAGGCAAGGAAGTCAACTAAAGCACTATACCGGTAGCAGGATGCAAGATTCTGGGCAGAAGCAAGAAGAGGTGAAAGATGAGAGTCTGATTGCTCTTGCCGGTGATAACCAAGGTGCAATCCATGATGTTTCTTCTGCCGAGGCTCCTGAGAAGGTGGAAGCCACGAAAAAGACCCAACAGAATCTTGCGTCGTTCGAATCAATCATCAGCAACCCGAACAGCAAAGACGATCGGAAAGTGGGCTCAATTTCAAATGTAACCGTAGCTCGTCCTGGCGCTGTGGCTGTGGCTGTTCGCAGCGAAGGATCGAATAAAAATACCGCCACGAAAACGGCTGCAGGAGTAGCAGATCCATTGACAACAACACCGCCTTCATTCCTCCAGGACATTCAGCCTCTCCCGTCCGCAAACAATCCATCTCCAGCAGCACAGTCTCATGATACATCGTTGCCAGGAGCATACGCCGAGGTACCTGGATGGAGACAGGACTCTGTCAACGTACAGGATATATTGGGCGTGGAAAACAGTGTGGATAGGAACCTGGAGGATGCCGTCGCGTGTTCTCCACAACCATTAGAGAACAGGGGGGCTGGTGAATCCGCAGTATCAATGTCCGATGTACAAGCCATGAACTACCATCAGGGACTTGTACATGCCCGAGAGGTTGAGAACCCAGCCAATCGTCAAGTTGCGGTTCAGGTTGTAGATCCACCTAAGGATTCGGATACGGCTGTCGACAATACAAATGACAAGCAGAACCAAAAATGGTGGGTTTTGTTGAGTTTGGTCTTGGTGGTCCTAGCAGCAGTTGGCTTGACTGTGGGACTGGCAGCTACCAAGAATAAGCACGCGGATGATCCAATTGACAAAGATTCTGCTGCCACCAGCACTACAATTCCTGATCAGAATTCAACAACGATACTCCCAAAACCAGATGTATACAATGATGTATTCTTCATGCCAATCCTTCACAGAGTGCCCAACTCCACCTTGGACTTCATTCAAAATCATGACACCACCAGTCCTCAATACCAAGCATACCAGTGGCTCCGTCAAGATGCTGCAGTTAATAATCACACCGAAGATCGTCTCCTGCAACGGTTTGTTCTGGCAATCTTCTACTATGCCACAATGGGACCTACCCACTGGAAATACAAAGGAGGGGGATCTGTTGTCATCAACACAAATTTTCGACCCATGCCTACACCAGGATTCCTTCTGACATCAGAACCTGGCAACCAGAGTGGAACCAGCAACTACAGTACCAATACCACCATTTCACAGCCATCTACTAACAACAGTTTGGGAGGAAGATGGCTCTATGAAGAAAGTACAGCTATAAGCACAACAGATTCACAAGAATGGGATTCAATGCCGCGTTCCACATTTCTCCGCCGTAAATTGCAGCAACAGCCTGAACCGACATCAGGGCTGTTCCGTCAGATTTACATCAATGGAACCCAACCATGGCTGTCACACGAATACCATGAATGCATCTGGTTCTCAAAGACTCCTGTCAAGGAACAAGAGACTTGTTTTGATGATGGAAACTACAAGAACCTTGCTCTCAGCTTTAATTCTCTGGCAGGGACTCTGCCACAGGAAATCAGCCTCATCACATCACTAGAGAGCATCAGTGTTGGCAAGAACAAAATTCGAGGTACCATCCCTTCCAATATTGGTTTAATGCCCAATTTGATTGAGTTTCGAGTCTTTGGCAACCTCATGACCGGGACAGTTCCCAGTGAGCTGGGACTCCTCTCCAATTCACTTCGACAGCTTTCCTTCTTGGACAATGACTTCGCTGGTGAACTCCCCACGGAGTTTTGGAATCTATCAAACCTCACTGATCTTTTGATTGGCAACAACGCCAACTTAAGAGGAACTCTGCCAGCTGATTTTGGTGAGCGTTTCCCCAAGTTACGGCTCTTTCTGTCGGAAGGTGCTCAATTCGCAGGCACCATTCCAACATCCATTGGCAAGTGTTCAGATTTGGTGGAGCTGGTGATCAACAACAATCAATTGTCTCGGGAGCTCCCCAGTGAACTGGGCAAGTTGAGTCGTTCTTTGATACTGCTAAAGGCCAGTAGCAACCCACAGCTGGCAGGGCAGCTTCCATCTGAACTGGGCCTGCTCACTAGTCTGCAAGAGCTTCGCTTGGATGGCAATCCAAAGCTGTCTGGGACCATCCCGTTGGCATTGATAGATTTGGCAGTTCATGCATCCTTGACAAAGTTATCCATTCGAGGCACATCCATTTCGGGATCCATTCCTCCAGAAGCTTGCCTTGTCGTCAGCTTTAGCTGTAGTACTGACAACCCGCTGCTTTGCGGCTGTGATTGTCCGTGTGCATAGTTGCGTAACGAACGGACAGGCACCGGTACCAGGTACGGTACGGTTCATGACCTTCATGTGGCTGGTACCAGTACCGGTACCATATTCTTCACTACACAGTACACGTGTACCTCTTAAGCCTTTCAGTACCGGAGCCAGTCCGCGGAAGTACGAGTATTAATATTCTCTTCCACCGTGCACACGTGCACATGCTTCCAAACGTAGTCGCATACGGTACCGTACCCATCGGATACTAGTATGTCAAGCTGTCATCCTTCCTTCTTCTGCTGTTTTGCTGGGGCAATACTGCGGTGAGGATCCTCAAAGTTGAGGTACATCTTGCCTTTACATTCATTCATGTGATTGTCCACCGTCCCATATCAGTCGGTGGGAAACATGTGTTGGAGTACTGAAGTATCCTTGGCTTTTACCATTTTGGATGTTTTAATGGGCATGTTCATGTGTTGGCGTCGTCGCGGGGAGGACGTGACGTACGGTTTCGGCTTGCTGGTTCTTGCAGCGCAAGAGCTTTTTCAATTTCTGTTGTGGTGGGATGGCACTCTTGCATTGGCGACAACAGAGAATCCAGATGCCTGCTCCGTGCGGGCTACTGTATTTTCGTTTGGCGCAACCTATTCCGCATTTTCCATAGTGTGGGTGGGATTGATCCGAGGGTACATACAGGGAGGGAACCCATTGCTTTCCCGTCGAGTCAACATTTTTTTCAGAGCTGCATCCTTTTTGGGGTGGATGTCTTTGATGATAGGAATCACTTGGGCTGTGGTACACACAGGTACTTGGTGTGCTCGAGTTGGCCCCAACCACCACCAACAATGGATTTGTGCCCTGAGCCTCAATAAGATTGACGGTGGCGGTTTGGAAAACTTTCCTTGGCTTTTGTATATCGCTGTTTCGGTGTATGGTTTCAGCTGTTTGATGGGGGGCGCTACTGTTCCCATGCCGTGGCAGGAATTTGTTGGTTTTATAGTGATTCAGGCTATTACGTCGCTTTCCATCTATATCAGATTCTGGAATACGTCCGAGGCTTGCAGCATTTGGTGTTGGTCGGCTTTTACCATTGGAATTGTTGCCGTCTTTCGCCCCGATCTGGACAAATACAAGAATGAGGCTCATCAGCAAGTGTGTAACAAAGACAAAGATGACTTCAATGTCGAGCCACCAGAAAAGATGGAATTGGTCGAACCTCTGACTTCTGCAGAAGCGGGCAAGTCCGTCGAAGAGACAGCCTGATGAACCTGGGAGAACAGTGCTTCACGCAAGTAATGCGGTTCGGTAAGGCTACCCATCCCAAGCAATGCACGTCACCAGCTAGTAGTTGCATTGAAACTCATGCCAAAGCGCAATGAAACATGGTCGTTTGCTTCGGGTACCGGTGCAGCTCGTAAACATATACCGGTAGACACTGACCATTCGCCGCGCCATGTTATATCCCTCTACCACCTGTGCAGCTTCAAACCAGAACTTTGTTTGTCCAGCACAATCCATCTCCAGGTCCCCGATCATTCTGGACCAACACCAGGACAGTTCTGGTCCCGCTCCCGGACCAACACTAGGGCCAACCGTACTCCTGTTCATTCTCTACTACTAGGCTCCACTTCAGAACGAAAACACTACTCTAGCTCCTTGCCATCTCCATGCCCCGCACCTGGGCTTACCCGAGCATATACGGTACCCAATCCAGGTCCCACACACCCACACCTCACCACGCATGGTTCAGCGTCCTGGGCTTGATTCCAGGAACGCCCGGGTTTGTGTGAGTATACCGTACCGGTACATTACCTGGGTACCAGGTACCTTATGTTCCTGTAGCTGACGTCAGACAATCCATCACCCACCAAGAAAGCAGCCACAGCCACAACAAGATCCATTTTTTGGAATGCACGTCAACAAAGATGTCAAGACACTTGTTTGTGCGACCGCCTTCCAGCAGCGGAAGGAAGGTTTGGTTGCGACATCGGTTGGGCTCCATTGCCTTTCTGCTACTGCTGTACCATGACATTACTGGCAGGTCGTCTGTGGCTGGTTTCCTACTCGTTCCAATAAGGAAGGCCCCAAGCCACCAGGGACGGATCAGCAACAGATTTGCACCATGTCGCAGGAGCTCATGTAGTTTTTTACCAGTGGCTGCGAGTGACAAAGATGTATCTTCCTCTGTCAACGAGAAGAAGCTCCTTCTTCGAGACGAACTGAAAGAAGCCTTTGTCGACCAGATTACCACTTCTATCCAGGAGGGGACCTTTGTATCACTGGTACTTCGTGGACCGAGCAGCAGCAGCAGCAGCAAGAAAAAGAACAACAAAGCGCAGCTAGTAGACGGTGAAGCCTTGCGAGGCTGTGTCAAACAAATACATGGCCGACGGATTCAATTGAAGGGACGGGAATTCCTGCAAGTTACCTTCAAATATCATAGCGCCACGGACATTGCCAAGAATTGGCCATTGCAAGGCAGCAAAAGTGACCATCGGATGATCCATGATGCTTTTCTGGAAATACTGGATCTTCGAGATACCCCACTCAATGGCGGCAACAGCAACAACAACAACTATATCCCTGCCTCGGAATGGGGTGATAATGTGTTGGAAGACAGAGACCTTGCACACATGTTGGGGATTCAGCGGGGAATTCTGACAACTTCCCAACACACTGTGGAGCTGGACGTAGGCTTTACTGCCAAGAAACCTCGACTCAAACGAGCCAAGTTGAAGGCACCCACCTCAGATACCAATAGTAATGCTCCATCGACTGCAGTGGTGGAAGATCATGATCGATCCAAACAAGTGCCGCTAAACAGCCAATCCGCCTTTCTTCAAGCTTTGGGCGTAACCGATACTCAGGGCAAGCCGAAGAGGGCCATGGCTTCCAAATTGCGACAATGCCAAAAGTTTGTGGAAATTGTCGGGAATCTGGTAGAAAAGTGTTCTGGCGCCAACAATCAGCAGCAGTCGGATTGCGTTTCCGTACTGGATATGGGTTGCGGGCGTGGATATTTGACTTTTTCCTTACATTCCTACCTGGTTTCCAAGTTTGGCAAGGAAACAGCCGTCAAATCGATTGGCATTGATATGAGACCCAAACTGGTTCGTGAGGTCAATGACATTGCCCGATCGCTGGGTTTGGACTTTGACGGACTGGTCTTTCAAGAAGGATCGATTGAATCCAGCATGGTGACAGCTGCGTCCAGCGAGAATGACAACCACAACAACTCGCTTGACATTTTGATTGCGTTGCATGCTTGCGATACCGCAACAGATGACGCTCTCTGGTGTGGTATATCCCGAGGCGCCAATATTATCGTGGTGGCTCCCTGCTGTCACAAACAAGTGCGACCACAACTCGATGCACTCCTGGCCCGTACCGATAATAATAAAAAACAACCTCATCCATTGGCGGACATTTTGCGACACAATGTGTACCGCGAACGTCACGCCGAAACGGTGACGGATTCTCTCCGTGCCCTGTTGTTGGAAGCGGCAGGATACCAAGTGCAAGTGTTTGAGTTTATTGGAGGCGAACACACGGCCAAGAATGTCATGATTACAGCCATTCGAAAACCAAACGTGCCAAGAAGGAATACGACAGCTGAAAGCAGCATTCTAAATCGAATCGACGAGTTGGCATCCTTACACGGGATAACCGAGCAAAAGTTGGCTCGGTGGATGGGGCCATCGTACTCGGGCAAGACGAGTCTATTGCTGGGATCGCAAACACTAGAGGGTTCAACAACCAACTTTCACCAGAAAAGAGTCCAAAATGCCAAGAACATGCCCCCACTGTGAATCCATCTCGCCACGCCTTCTACTAGATTTTGTATGTCGGTTAGCTTGTCTAAAATTACGTTGTTCGCTTGCAGCGCATGAGCAAACAACAATCTTCAAAGAGTCAATAATGTTCCCTATCGATCCATGCAACATGTTCTAGTTTGCAAAAGTTTGCGCTTGCTCCACATACACATGATTAGTGTGCAGCCGTAGCGGCACAGGTCGCTTCGGTTCCACGAACCAGTCGGAGCACTCCATCAAACGGCACCCAACTAAAAATGTAACAAAACACGGAAGCAACGAATTCTTCTCTCCATCCCTTGAAGTCAATTCGCTTAATGTGCAAGAAGAGCACCAGTCGTTCCTCATTGGTAGGATTTTCCGCATAATGAGTAAAAGAATCGTCAAAGATGAATTCTTTTCCTTCAGTCCAGTGGTACGTTTCGCTTCTGCAATTGATGGTTTCTTCAATATCGTCACATCCCTTGACGGTAATATAGGGTCGTTTGTCGGGTGTTTCCGCTTTTGGGACCTTGAGGGCCAGATGATAAATTTGAATAATTTTGGAAAAGCCCGTGTGCTGTCAATAACAATATTTGATTGTGCGAGAGAGTGTGTAGATTGTTGTGCATGTTGGAGAACAGCGAAATTGGAGTTTTGGATGAGTCTTTCTTTTCCAAGTGTTACATGCTGAACAAACTCGTTTGTAGTATACGTACTGGTTCAATCTTTTGTCCTGGGGCCAACCTAGAAAACATGATGGAATAGGCAGTAAAGCCAGAATTGCGGACTGCTTCCAGGGTCTTGGGGAAGTGAGATGCTGCACAGGTATAGCGTCCCATGGTCTTGAGGAAGAGAGTCTTCCACACCCCCTTTGTGTCGAGTGGTCCCTGAAATAATCCCAAAAAAGGCACGTAACAGCACAGGTTACTTGTTAGCAAATTGCATAATGCCACACGAGAGAAGCACCATCTTTGTGGTACTGTGCTCTTTGTAACTATCAGACATGACATACCTGTTCGTCTGGGTCGAGGTTGGCAATGATGGGAATGTCATGAGATTTGCGATATTGCTCATATTCCTCCAGCACAATATCCTTGTAAGCGGCCAAGGGCGTTGGAGGATTCACATCTCCCACCATGAGTTGATTCGGATCTACCACCAAGCTGCCGACCATATCTCTAATCCCGGCACCCAACAAGAACTCGGTCACAAATCCATGAGATGCCCACACATAGATCGCCTTGGGGGCATGCATGGCCGTGGGGCCAAAAATGTAGCAAAAGACCAGCAGAGGAATGTAGTAGACGGCATTCTTGCGCGATATCAAACTGGCCAAGAGCAGTTGTTGTTTGTGGGAACTAGCATCGGACTTCTTCGTGGTCGCATTTCCCATGGAAACATCCAAATGAGATGAGCCAGCTGTTCCATTGCCAACATGCTTCACATTGCGTTGTCGGACAGCGGTAGACATGTTGGTTGCAAGCTTGTTGGATGTAGGATGTAGGATCAGTAGATGGTACCGGTATCAGGAAGATGCTGAAAAAATAATGACAACGCACCGTTTCACCGTTTCACCGTTTCTTTCTGGAAGCGCACCTCTCATTGGATGCGAACTTCTCTTGGTACCGGTACGGTATGGGGATGGGGGAAATAAGTTTATCTTGAGAGTGAATATCCCCCCTTTCCCTGCTTGACCAAGAGTTTGTTGCAACAGTCAACCAAACAAATGACGCCTTCTCATTGACCAATCATTCATCCCTGCACCCGTACCAGGCCTTCACTCGATAAGAACAAGCAGCCGGGGGCTGATGCCCTCAACTGTCAAAAAGAGATTTGATTGGATTCCCCAATCGAATCCTTAACATCTTTGGTCAAATCCTTTACCGTGTTCAACTGGACACACTAGCAAGTCTATCTTGTGTGTTCTGTTGGGCACAGTAGTTTCTACGCATGGGTACCAGTACTGGTCTGGCTATGCAGACTCGCTATGTGTCCAGATAAACACGTGGAGGTTTTGCCAAAGACATAAGGACATTTTCCTTGTTAAGGATAGGGATTATATTTGTGGTTCTGTTGGACACAGTACTCTGGACCCATGGGTACCGTACCACTGTGCCCGTACTGGCTGGCTATGGAGACTTGCTATCATAGGTGTCCAGTTGAACACAGTAAAGTGATTTGACCAATCAAATCTCTTTTTTGACAGTTGAGGGCATCAGCCTCCGGCTGCTTGTTCTTTGCCCTCAACGACTGAGGGTCTTTCACACTTTTATCGCTGTATGTGCAAGTTAGTCTGTACGTCGCTGTGTGTGCAAGTTAGTTGTACGTCCGCGCATAAAGATGGGGTAAATAATAATTGTTAGTTGGTAAATATACTCCGAGTACCAAACTATGTGTGTGTGCAAGTTAGTATGTACGTCCGCCATAAAGGATGGGGTAAATAATAATTGTTAGCAGGTAAAACATACTCGAGTACCAAACTATGTTGTTTGCAAGTTAGTCTGTACGTCCGTCATAAAGGATGAGGTAAATATTAATTGTTACTGGTAAAACATACTCCGAGTACCAATGTGTGGTTTTGGTTGGCTATCGATAGACTACAGTAGACTGTGTGTTCAGTTTAACACAGTGTTGGATTTGGCAAAGAATCAAATCTCTTTTTTGACAGTTGAGGGCATCAGCCTTCGGCGTCTGTTCTAATGGCTGTGTTGTGTGTGTGTGTGTGTGTGTGTAGGTGTGTGTACGTTGAGTGTGTGTGAGAGTGTGATGTTGTGTGAGAGTGTGTGAACTACTAGGAGTTAATCTAGACGAATCTACCATTGGAGTTTATCCATGGGGTATACCGTTGCTTGCTGGTGTGTGTGTGTTGTGTGTGTTGTGTGTGTGTGTGTGTGTGTGTGTGTGTGTGTGTGTGTGTGTTTGTGCAGCTGTTTTGGTCACATAGGGGAACTTTCCTCGTTAAGGATGGGGATTAATATTGTGTGTTCAGCTGGACACAGTAGTTTCTATGGGTACCAGTTCTGGCTGGCTTGCAGACTCACTAGTGTGTCCGGATAAACACGGTGTAAGTTTTGCCAAGACATAAGGGACATTTTCTTTGTTAAGGATAGGGATTGATATTGTGTGTTCTGTTGACACAGTACTTTGGACCCTTACTGGCTGGATATGG